TGCAGTTGTGGTGAGTAAAAGCCCCGCCGCTATTTGTTAATGTTATTACTTTATGTCCGACCGTGAGGATGTACCATTGTTTGCTAGCTTGATGCTAATGGGTCCATGTCATTGGTTCGACATCCCATTAGTCCGACTGTCCGCGGTGCTGAACGGCTTGCGGCGGGCATATGGTGCGCCGCGACGGGCTTGAGGCGGAGCAGGCTCACGGTTTATGTGTTTGTCACGTTCTTTTTCATTTTAACCCACACCATAATCTTTTCCTTACCCTAACCAAGTGGTTTTTGTGCCTCAACCTAACCAGACCTTAACCACAGGGCATCATGATGATTTCGGAATGGACTTCGGAACAATGAGTTTAATATGGTCGGAACAATGGGATGTCGAACCAATGGGCAGTTCCCGATGCTAATGACAGTAACATTAACTCAGCGGGTTGACAAAGTGCCTCTGCTGTTTCACACCATCATTTCCCCCTTTTACTCTGTGTGGTAACATCCCTAGAGGAAATATTAAAAACGCTGGGGTGTTGTTGTCATACAGTTGTCTACAGCAGCAGATCGTTCTGTGTTTCTACTGGTCAAAGTGACGGCTGTGATGGGAGAATTGGATCTCAGTGAAGGGCAAGTGGTCCATAACTTTAATTTTGGAGACAAAAAAAATGTAGGCTTAGCACCCTGTGGTCCATTGGCCAATAGGAAATGTAGAATACTCAAAAGTACTTTAAAAGTGCTTGAGTTACTTTTCTCAGGGAGTAACGTTGGAAGTACTTTTAAAGTAATTGAGTTACTTTACTCAGGGAGTAACACAGTAAAGTAACTTGTTACTTTTTTAAAAAGTAACACAGTAACGTACTTTGATTACTTTTAAAGTAACCCTTACCCAACACTGGTGCTGGCAACCTGGCCTCACTCCGAAGTCATTGGTTAGTGACTTCTGGTGTCAGACAATGACAAAAAAAGCCGTCCTTTCACGTCGGCATGATACACCATCATTTTGTTATTCAGGGGAAACGCGGCTGGACAACGGTGTTAGTTAAGGGAGTGAAAGTCAGAGTAGGGTGAGCGGGGTGGATGGGTCCAACAACCATCGACTTTCGCCTGGGAGGCTGGTCTTCACTTCCTGTATGATATAAGGCCCTGTCCTTTTTTTCCTAAACCCAATCACATGCTGTTTTTTGCATAAACCCAACCACATGCGTGTGTTGGCTAAATGTTACCAAGTGCATTTGTTGTTGAAGGAAATGTGAAGAAATGTTGGTGTTCTACTGACGTGGTGTGTCTATTGTGAAAGAGACTGTATGCAAATTGTACATTTCCTGTGAAAACGGCGTATTTTAAAAACGGACAATGCATACAGGATGAAGTTGACGCGACATCACAGGACGTCAACAACTAACGCATCCAGGGTACCTTGCACATCATATCTTGATATGGAAAGTCCATGACCAAATGTCAATATGTGACGAGGATGTAGTGTGAGTATGTGTTGTTGCTGGGGAGTACTACTGCATATGTGGAAAAAGTTGTATAAAGTTTCTCCAGAGAGCCATTACCAGCATAACACATCCAAATCTTCAACCCCTGCCCCTTATTCAGCAGGGGTAAAAATGGAATTATTTATCAACTCCCATAAATATTAATTATATTGAAATGTAATACAGGCTAAAAACGCTCAAAAGATAGTTTAAATGTGGCGGCAGAGCTTTAAATCTAATGACTTCTTCACAAGGAACAAACATTTTGGAGGCAGATGCATTGTGACAGAGCATATTGTGTGTATCTTACAAGACTCTTAGTGACATTTATAGTGTTTAGATGACTGATCTTCTGTATTGTAAATGCCATACATATATTTAGCAATTGTGCTTTCTATTGCAATATGTAATTCAACTTCTTATAAAAACATTCATTTCCTATTAGAACCCCTTAAAATCTTAAGATATAATGTTTAAATTCTCTTTTTGATTTTTATGAAGCCAGATCTCATCCCAAGCCAGATTTAAGATTTGGTTATGAATATGACGCAAATCAGAATTGTACAACAATTGGATTTCAATCGGACCATGAGCACAAGAAAAATCAGATATTTGGACAGCAGTGTACCTGGCGAGCAAATACATTGTCTTATGATTTTTGATATTGAAGGGATTTGGTCATCCTTGGGATTAGTTTAATTTGTAATTTTGCGCATAGATCAGCACTATCAAAATGAGATGGTTGGATTCACAGGGATAGTTTATCTTACTTGTTTTCTCAGAATAAATACAATCTAGAACACGTGTGTCTTATCATTGACCCAAGTGAACAATCAAGACCAGTCACGAAGCTGCTCGAGTTGCCCATGTTAAGTCGCATCACAGTTAAAAGCCAAAGGGTTTGTCTTCCAGCTCCCTACAAAGGAAATCATAATCAAAGGTCTATGAATGTGCCACAAGGCTCTGCAGTCAGTTATATTAAAGAAGTATTGTGTGTGAACTCTAGGTGGACCCAACATTGCTTTTTAAAGGCTGTATCTATGATAGCTCCCTAAAGTCATTCCAATTCCCTTTTTTCCATGGAATATAGTGTATCTGTATGTACATTTATTTAGGTGTGGATTTCGCGGCAAGTGCATGTTAGCCAAAGAGATTTTTAAATTGTTTCATTTATGCATGATGCTTACTTTTGGCTGCTGAACCAAACGGTTCAAAGCTGTCGATACCACAGGACAGAGATTCAAAAATAATGTGCAGTATTGTTGGATTATAACATTACAAGTAATGTTCACACCTGCTCTCATTTACTGTAGCTGACGTTTTCTTTGGCGTCATTGAGCAAAAATTCCATGACAGCCTTTGAACACATCGTAATTCAAGTGGTCTGACAGAGAACTAAACTTGTGCACCTCCTCTTTGTTCTGTTGGCTGTGACTTGAGACTTTGGTCAATCACAGGTCATTTCAGATTAAAGGTGCGGCTGTTCTACGAAAACAGATGCACGTCCCCTCAGATGGTGAGAGATTGATTCACTGGCAGAGAAATCTGCAGAAGTTGTTATTCCAACATTTGCAACAACTACCTACACTGCAAAACAATCCCAAAACAGCCTTATCAAAAAGAGATTCTAAAAGAGAGTCTGACAATAAACAAAATAAAACATGTCAATATTGGCAAGCATCAGAGATGCAGAGAAAATGTTGCTAATAGTTTAGCTGTCTCACGGCTGCAGCTTATTCAGGGGCATGTTTATGTAGCTAGCTGGAGCCTTGCAACATGGTCTTTCATCTCAGAGGGCTTTACAGGCTCACAAGATTGCAAAGAAATCAGGATGGTAATTTTTATGGAGTTGCTGCTATATAATGACATTTGGATCACAATCACAATCAGGATGCTTGAAATGACTTAGTTCACTTGTTCAGGTTACTTAGGCCCCATGTCCCTCAAAGCCATTCGGTGTATTTTTTGTTTTTTTGGGGTGTTCTTTTGTTTTTTGGGGAGTGTATGAAGTGCATGCATATGCCTGTGCTTGTCTGGTTGAAGGGGGTTTAGGACAGATAGGGCGGAGCTGCAGAGTGAGGGTGTGTTTTCAAATTCTGGTGTTGGGTTGTTATTTTTTTGTGTTTGTTTTGCCTTACTGAGAAAACTGCCTACCCCAACTTTAAAAGCCTTAACCCAGGTCAGACACCAGCTCAAGAGGAAGGAGAATAACAAATTAAGTCCTTTTCACCCAGAGTCATTTGCCCTGTCCATGCCCTGCCCTGTGGTGAGAAAAATCAGCTCATCCAGATCAGCTGTAGCAGTTCATACAAGGACAGCCTTTAGACTTTTTCCCTCGGGAGACTGCACAAAAAGGAAATACAGCCTAACTTCATCTTGATTTCCATTTCTCTCTGTTTCCCTGAGGAAGGCATGACGCAGCAGAATGGAACAGTTTTATGCACACACACATCCACACACTCTCACACCTCCACTTTGGTTACTTCTGGGTTCTCATGTAAAAGATTAGAAAAGACAGTGTTTATTTAGTCAAAATTATATCTGGCCAGCAAGAATGGTCGCCAGCAGTTCAAGACTGAATGTAAATGTCAGTTTCTAAACTGTTCCCCTGTTTACCGTGACCTTAAACACACCAACCCCATGTCATAACTTTACCATATACAACCTAATACAGTACCTACCCATAGTCCCTAATTGCAGCCTGGAAAGTCAGAAATCAATCTAAACACTCAGGGGATGCTTTGGAAAATAGCTGACAGAAATGTAAACACAACTGATTTGCTGTAAAAACATGCAGCTACTGGTATTTTCCTTCCACCATCTCAAATGTATTTCTGAAGTTATACCTAAATGTCACCAAATAACTACATTTTACCATTTCTGTATAAAAACACATACTGGGCCTCAAAATAATTCATTGCTCACAATTTTGCCAAATTACAATCATTACTTCAAATCATGTAAGACATCATTTACCGCTCTCTAAACACATTTCCACACAGGTGGTTAGTGTTTTACGTTCCATTTCCCAGTTCCTTTATCCAAATTAAGTGACCTCACAAGCTTCCCACTCTTTTACATGACAAATGATAGCCAGGTCCTATAAGACCTCCTCATTATGCTAAATTCAATAAAATGTGATTTGTGGGCAAAGGAAATTGAAAATGAAATTACTCTTTTTGAACTGACAAACGTCTGGGGGCAAAACCACCTCCTCGGTAACAGTTTCCCATGGCGTACATAGATTCTCACTCACCCATGCAGCTTTTGCCTTCTGTTATTGGATGTTCTTCTGTCAGCTGGAAACTTAAACAGACATACAAATTAGATTTCTGATTTTCCAGCATAGAGCACATTTTCTGAGTTAGAAAGGATGTTGAATTTGTTCACAGTCCTAAAAAGAGCGTTTCAGGCTTCTGCTTACAGATTGTGCCTAGTTAGGTTGGTTTCTAAATGACTCCTCATCATGACTCAGTAATGTTGACCTTTTGTATTTTGAATTAAACCACTTGTGGCTGTTCAGGTCACAGATTTGAGGACAACCCTGGGGTGAGACGCCACCTGGTGAAGAAGTCGTCACGATGTCAGGTGACCCGAGCCAGCAACAGTTCCACACCACTAAGCAGCCTGAAGAAGAAGAAGAGAGCAGCAGATAAGAAAACCCATGAGGTCAGCAGCACATTTGTTTCCCCAACCCATTCACCTACATATCGAATTGTACTTGAAATGATGACATTTAAAGCAGTATTCAGTTCTTGGCCACTTCAGTGTTTTTTCCACCAAATTAGCTCTAGTTCTTGAACCAGTTCCTTGAAAGACACTTGGAACCTTAGTGCTTTCTAAGAAAGCAGCCTGTGTTTCCACTGGTTTTGTTTTCATCAAGACAACAAGCATTGACCAACTGTTAAGAGACCACTGCACTCATTTTTTTGATGATTTCTCAGTTAGGTTAAGAAAAACTTGATATGTTTTTTGGTTCCAGCTGAGAACCAGCTTTTCAAGTTCCAAATCTATTTATTTTTGGTCAAATGCTCTGAATGGTTCAAAATTAGGTGCAGGAACCAGAATAGAACCTGTTCCATGGTGGTTAAAATTAGGCAGACCTCTCATTCACTTGAAAGCAGGTAGTGAGTCTAGGCTGCTGTGGTGGTACCGTAGGGGATGCCAGAAAAAAAAGTTAAGTGGCTTGTGGCGAAAAGTTGAATCGAAGTCAGGTTTTGGAGGAACACTGCTGTGGCCATTCACATAACCTGTGATCAGAATGAAAGATGCCCAAATTCCACAGGAATGAGTAATACACTTTTTATATTATTGAATATTATAGTGAGTAAAAGCATAACAAAGTATGTATTAACAGCTTGTGTGTCCTTTTTTACACACGAGAGCTCTCACTTTCTTTGCGAGTGTGCACATTGTCTTTGGTGGCAGTAAAGATACCACAGCAATGATAATAAAAAAGAATCCTACAGATCTTTTAAGCCAACATAAACAAACTTAGTGAAGACAAATACTCAGACACTGAGATAATGAGATTGGCTATGAAATGGTCTCCACCCTCCACTCCCCCACAAATGGGCCATTTAAGTGATACATGCAGCACAACCCTATGGCTAATTGCCACAATGCCTGATTTGGTGTGAATGCAGGCCGTTAATGTGTTAGCATCCACTTGTGTATTCACACAGCATTAATTTGGGTTGGTGTTTCTGTTCCTTAAGCTCTGGAACAGAAACACCACTGCTTGTAGCTCTGGTTTGGTCTATACCAACTCAACGAAGCTGCTAAACTGTCTATCATGCTTATTTCAACTATTTAGCCCTAGGCAGGTAGTGCACAGTGGGTTTGTCAATGGTTTTGCACTGTTAACAGCTGCCCAGTGCTGCTGGGAGCTGGATTAATAAGAGCAATGAGTGTCAACCAGAAAGTCAAAGGACAAGCTGCGGGCCATAAAACCAAAACAATGAGCTGAAAGAGGCTAAACCACTCAAAACACTAGAGTTAGTTTTAATCCTTAGTCTGTTTATCATTACAAGTGACTTCTCTCATATTACAGAGCCACTCGAGCCATTGTTGATAAATGATTGATAAGTACGTACTTCTTGGTAAGAATGACTCCATAAATTGTGGAAGTCATACTGTATAAAGTCCAGGTCTCCTGGAGTGTGGTCATAGATTAAACACATTTGTCTTGACTGAACTGATGAGACAAACTTGCTCCTCATGTTACTTCTCAGCTAGAGAGCAAAAAATATCCCAAAAGCACAAATCATGTGAGTATTATTTTGTGTTGCTCTGAGGACACTTTTCTAAAAATGAATTCTATGTTGAAATGTGACTTAATGTCTCTCCAAACCATGTGGTTATCCTCTCAGTCCAAACCACTCTTAACTCGATCCAAACCACTTAGTTTAGTTGCTCCCCGTAAACATGTGTGACGACTGTGTCATTGGATTAGCTGTCTTTGAATTCATTTTCCAATCAGTACGATATCATGTTTTGGTTTAAAAACAATCCAGATAGGGACAGACAAACTCTGGTTGCTGGTGCAAACTGCTGGTGTTAATGTAGGTGCTAGCCTTTTTATAGCTACACTGTAGGAGATCAAACTGAGAGCAGATTTTAATGCTCATATGCTCTACTTCATCTTCAGTTGTTTGTGGAGCTGAACGAGCTGATTGTGGAGAAGGACCATGAAATGCGTTGGAAGGAGCGGGCCCGCTGGATCAAGTTTGAGGAGGATGTGGAGGAGGAGACAGACCGCTGGGGCAAACCTCATGTGGCTTCACTCTCATTCCGCAGCTTGCTGGAGCTTCGCCGCACCATCACACAGGGTAAACAGCTCCTGCATACATACAGCAAGGCAGATGTTCACAGCACATAAAATATACAAAGATAAACATCAAAGACGCAAAACTCATCCAGTGTGTTTTTGGTCGAATTTCTCAAATAACTATATGTAAATGAGCAACATTTTCTTCCTGTTTAGCAGTTTTTAACAGCTTATTTGGCTCATTAACTTCCCTTCCCTCCCAAGGTGCCATCCTTCTGGACCTCGAGCAGAACTCTCTGCCTGGAATCGCCCATCTGGTGGTGGAGACGATGATCATCTCTGATCAGATCAGAGCTGAGGACAGACCCAGTGTGCTACGGGCTCTGCTTCTCAAACACAGGTCAGTAACCAGGCGAACATTCACTTTAATATTTAAAAGACATCTAATTTAATGTGCCTTTTGCAAAGAGAACATTTGCTACAGTACTGAGTACAGTACTTCAGAGTCTGTTAAATAAATCTTTTACAGTACCTGAGGCTGTCTTTATTAAGTGAGTTCAGCCTAGTCCCACTCTCTTTGATCAACACTCGGCTTCACTAAACCTAATATTAACAATTCACTTAACCAGTCTCATAAAGCTGGCAGTCTTGCCTCTGTGTCTGACCATCCACTATCCCCTCCTCCTCGTGATGAGCAACTCAACATATACATATATACATACATATAATTTTACTACAACACTTAAAAAATGTTGATATGATTCGTATGAAACATACATAAGTTAGATATCCCTGGTTTGCAGAAACATACAATGCCAACATTTTATTCTGGTGACTGGGCTGAAGCTTGATATCTGGAATTTTTTCCACTGTGCTATAGAGCTCACAGATCATTGTTATGTAAAAACTAGTGAAAGCACATCAATGATTCACGCTGCCGAACTGGGTGATGGTGACAACACGAACATACTGGAGTTTAATTTAAGTCAATACCTCACTCACTGCTGTTGGAAAAACTCACTAGAGCACCAATGGTATATCAACCTGCCACTGAAAATAGTCCCAAGTAAATGCCCTAGTTACAGCTAACTTTTGCTAAAGATTACAATGCCCAGCTGTTTGAGAAAACTGGGTTTTATTTCATTTCTTCTGTTGGAAATGTTGGACAGGACCAGGAACATTTTTACATTTTTGCAGTTTATCAGTGTAAACTTGTTTACCCGGATTGTGAGAAAGTACTAGAATACATAGGGAAGTGGTTAGGTTCAATGGTACCTGTGTTGCATAGATGATGCCTACCAGGGGATCCAACAGAATTGCCCAGTATATCAAAATGACTTTGCAGTGATAAAAATAGGTGTTGTCCTGGCTGCCTAGATGATCTCAGATAATGGAAAAGTACACCCTCTCCAGATCTTAAAAAATGGATGATATCTGTTAGAAATGGTATATGAACAGATGTTAGCCAGAGTCAGTTATGAAGGTGAGAACTTTAAGAGGTTACATGACCATTTTTTTTACGCCTGCACTTCAGCAACAGCCCTGGCAAGAGACATTTAATTTTGGGGTTGCCGTCCATTCCATTTTTGTAAACGAAATATCTCAAAAACACCTTGGGGGAATGTCTTTAAATTGGCACAAATGTCCACTTGGACTCAAAGATGATCTGAATACATTCTGGTGTTCATAGGTTAAAGGTCAAGATTACTGTGACCTGGTCTGCCTCATTCTCTTGAATGCGATATCTCAAGAACACCCTATGTAAATTTCTTCAAATTTGGTACAAATATTCACCTGGATTGAACAATAAAGTGATATGAATTTGGTGGTCAAAAGTCAAAATCACTGTGACCTCTCAAAACATTTCTGCCCGTTCCTCAAGAGTTCATTATGACAAAATTTCACATAAATGTCCAATAGGATATACTGATAGTAAAGACATTTCATATCTAAAACATCAAAAAGTCAACTTCACCCTGACATCATAATGCTCTACAAAAACACTTTTCTGAGGCGGATCATCTCAGTATCTGACTGTATTGCTACAATTGCTAATTGTGTATTTTGATTGTTCTAAATAGAACTTACTTTAGAACATGTTATGATGTCATCAGAGGCTTATCCCGTAAACATGTGTACTTTAATGTGAACATGGTATTTTTGACTCATGGTTGATTGATGAGGACTTTCTTCTTTCATAGGTTTTTACATGTTTGTTCTGAAAATCTGTACTTCGTGCTACTTGCAGTTTTGGTCTGTGGTGTTGGTTACCATGGCAACAGATCATGATTTCATTCTATTTAATACCAAAGTTTGATTACTTTAATTGTTTTATGATCCATGTATTAAAATACCCGTCGGCATATGGTATTGTGGATGCAGCTTTGTTTACATTGGGATCGTGGGTTGTAGGTATGGCAGCATGAAGCATAAAATCCTTGCCCTCTTCCTCCTCCTCATTAATCATCGTGCTGCAGTGGAGGTTGTTGCAAAAAGTCAAACCCAAGGGAGCTGAACAGGGAATTTCCAAATTGTGACATTTAACAACACTTGGCTCATCATCTGGTGTACTTCCCCGGGGTTGACTAAGTTGCAAATGTGAACAGTGTGCTGTAGCTGCACTGGGTCTTAAAGCCTAGACGTTCAGATTTAAAGTTTGATTCTTTATCGTGTGAGCTATGCTGGCCCTTTGATCTCTGCTTTTGTTAACATCTTTGCTTTCTCAGTCAGACTTACTTCTATTTCATACAAAAAAGAGTGAGCGATTCAATCTGATGCTCAGAACTACACACCAAGAATGAAAAATATAGTGATAGAGGCTTTGTAAAAACATTAACTAGCTTGGAGCCAGCCTTTCTAACAGTTTTGGTACGTTCCATAAATCCAGGTTCATTATGTGTCTTAAATTTTTGGTTTGAGATGAGACAGACGAAAAGCCTAAGATTTAAGATAAAAAAGAGACTGAGTAAACATCAAGCTATTTGGGTGTATTCATTCCAAAGGTTTACTGTTTCTCGCCAGCAGGGTCAGTTGTTATTTTAGCCTTTGAGGTTTTTGGTGCTTTGTGGTTTCTGCATGAGCCATTTTTTTCCGGCTCACCCAGTCAGACGCTGCTGGTTTCAAGTTCGATGGTGTTGTTGGAAATTATTGGGTGTGATGTTGTTAAACCAGCAGAAGTGTATGTGAGTAGATTTAGAGAGGGAATAGTTATTATAGGACACCACAACTTGTTGTCAGGATCTCAGTTTAAAAAGGCATTAGCAACCAGGACTATTGGTGAATCTCAAAGATACAAATTCTCTCAGCTGAACTTTTTCTTTTGTAGAAGTGCTTAAAAAACACCAGAGGGGATATTTAGCACACCCTGTCCGCAAGCGTGCCACAAGTGTCAAAGTCAAAGTCACAAGTGTGTCAATGTAATACATGTGACATGTCATCTCCATGGTATCTCTCTCAAATGGTCCTCACTTATTGATTGGCACTTGCATTGACATGCCAGCTAAACTGACAAACACATATGGCCAATGGAATACATAGTGCATTAAAGATTTTTCACAGTTACATAACCACAAAAACAAGTGAACTAAATATCGGCCGTCAAATTGAATTAGCAGAAGAGAGATAAGCAGTGCCTGTCAAAAATACAGATGTTGTTGTCATGCTCGCTTGTTCCCCAGTTCATATTTTGTGTCATTTTAGTGATCACTTTGACCAAAGTTGATCAAAACTAATCAAACTCATTAGCAAACATTAGCATTTAGCACTCACTGAGGCACTACCATGAGGACTACTAGTCTTTTTGTCTTTGAGTTGACTTGCCCAAAGGTTAGTGTCGAAGCCCACTTGCACTATATATAAATCTATACACACCTCTTGACAATAGGTTAATCTATTTCTTATTATATCAGTATTTATAAGCTGTTTTGGAGCTTTTGATATGATGAAGGTTGCTAGCACACATGCTTCCTTAGGAAATGGGGTGTGTCCAGTTGTCATAGCCTGGTAGGTGTTCAGATTTCCATTGTTTAAAGGCACTTTCCAGACTTCTGTGTCAGCTTAAGAGTTCTCAACTTCTGTTGTGTGATACGAGTAAAAGCTCCAGAACTGCTACTAAATGGACTGGTGGTAAATGGTGAGATTGTTTTGACAACTGCTGTTGCCAGGGTCAGGAATAAATTTTACACTTTTTTTTATTTAGGGATGCACGATAATATTGGTACATCATCGGTATCGGCCATTATTGGCTTTAAAATAAACTATCAGAATTGGCCAACATGCTTTTACTTATTTTGCACAATGAATGAATGTTACATACATTGAAAAGCATTGTATGTCTCCATCTGCTGGTGGGCCATCACGATAAGTGTATGCATGCATAATATGAGACTTGATGATCAATAAAATTAGCTGTTATCAGCCAGTTATTATATATTGGCATATTGGATATCGGCAAAAAAATCCAATATCATGCATCCCTAGTTTTATTTTTCCAAAGAACATACATTATCCTTATGTCTCTGTATACAGCTCTCCTAAGCCACTGGTCCAGAATTCTCTGTCTGGCTCCCCCTCTGTTGAGCCAGAATGGTACAGTCTGGGTGTGATCACTAACAGTTATTTTGCATTGACAATGCATTGGTCTGATGGCATTTCAAAAGTTTGGATTAGGCTCGTATATTATAGCAAATAATTCAGTATTACTTACATTGTGATGGCCAAATTTGCTGTTTCGCTAAAACCTAATGTGCACGGGATGTATTTTGCACACACAGAGCGACTCAACAGATGCATAGAAACTAAGCCAGCCAGCGGACATTCTTAACAGCAGGCCATCATGCGTTCATTCCATCTTTCACAGCCTTTCCACATAAAGTCCCAGCATGTCACTGGCTGCTTCCACAGGGCTGAAAAAAACACTGTCATTAGAGTCATCACCAGTCTGAGATATCAGATTTATGACTTGGAAAGACACACATTGAGCTGCTGCTAAAATTTAGCTCATCGCTTACTCAAACCACTTTAAAGATCCTCTGGAAACGGTTCGAGCACAATCCACTTCAGTGTCACACCTCGTTCTTTTGTCTCGAGGTGCTGTCGCGTCCAATCTGGGCGCCGTCTTATTGGACCGTGTGGGCTTAGTGAGGTGATGTCACCATTGGATTGAGTAGTGATGTAATGTTAAAAAACTTGGCCAGTGTGACACACAAAATACTTCTCTGTAAGAGTGAGTGAAATGCTTACACTCAAATGCATAACAAGGGAAAATAATAAAGCTACACAGATTTGTCTCTGGCTGTTTCATCGATGTTCTCATGCAAATTTCACATTTTGAAAAATTACTTGTCAGCTCAGATTTTCTCTTAAGAGTTTTCTAATTAGTTTGCATCAAAAAGTGATTTAGATTTGGAAGGATTTTGCAGATGACGTTTGTAAATCGATCAGCTGCATTGCAACTGCATGAGGTAAAGCTCTTTAACATGTTGAATGAAGAGAAGGTAGATTGGGTAAATAAGAATCACAGCTGGGCTTGTCACTTCTAAAATCCAAATAATTCTGCAGATCTCTTAAGTGAACTCCCCTTTCTTTTTTATTCGGCCCATAACCAATACTGATACCGATATATAGCCACTTTTTTCCCCAACTAATTTTAGTGATCATCAAGTCTCTTCTGTAATGGAATTAACATTATCATGTTATGCATGCTGCTCTTATCGTGATAGCCCACCAGCAGATGGAGACATGAAATATAATGCTTTTCAATGTATGTAATATTCATTTATTGTGCAAAATAAGGAAAACCATCTTGGCCAATTCTAATAGTTCAATTTCAAGCTGAAATTGGCCGAAATTTATAATAAACAGATTATCAGCATGTTGGCCGATTCCAATATTTCATTTTAAAGCCAATATCGACTGATTCCAATGACTTGCCAATATTATCGTGCATCCCCACTAGCAATTGAAGGAAATCCATGACAACTCAGCAAACTCCAACACTTCCACACTAGGACACAAAAATGACTCCAATCACATAATGTTGTTGACTGGATTCTTTATTTTTTCTTACTTTTGGCACTCTCAGATATAGATATATAGGCTATTATTGACCTTTTGGAGGGCTGGCTGGATCCTTTCTCCAGAGGGTTCAACTCACTGAAAGTACATAAAAAGGACAGACAGACAGACAGACAGACTTATGATCAGTTAATGCAAATGTGACAAATAATACTGTTTTTTCTTTTCATCTCAATTTTAACCAGGTAAGCATTTGAGAACAAATTCTTATTTACAAAGGCTGTCTAACAGTATTACCTTTCGGAAGGCCAGGGGGATCCTAAGATTATTTTGTGTCAATCAAATTCAAGTATACAGTTAAAAAAGCTGGCTATAGAAAATACCCCTTCAGGATGTATGGAACCCCTCGGCTTCGCATCGGAGTTCCATACATCCTGTCAGGGTTTATTTCTCCATAACAGCCTCCGAACTATACATTATCCCTTACAGAGATAATTCATAACACCTCACAGGTGTGGCATAGAAACACAACTCCTGATTGTCGGCTGTAGCGGTTAATATAATTTGTGATCTTTCTATGAATTAGATTTTCATATTTTTTTGTAAAATGTATATTTTTATAAAAAATCCCAGGAAATAGTAACCGAGGTATTTACCTCGGGTACCTCATAGCTAGTTACGGCCATGGGACTAGCATGAAATTTGCTACCGGCATTTACGATCCACAGTGGATAAAGCCTGGGGACTTTGCTGATCTTTTCATCGAGCACCACAAGCATGTCAAGGATTCCAAGTATATAGTGAACTCACTTTACATCACCTGGATGGATTGGCCAAGACTTGGTTCAGATATTCATGGTTCCATGGTTTGGTTGATAATACTGACATTCCCATCAGCCTCAGCTGTACTTTGTGAAGTGCTAAATAGCATTTGTTAGCATGCTAACACACTAAAACAAAGATGAAGACTTTGGTAAAAATTACTTGCTAAACCTTAACGTGTTCATGTTTTCACTGTCGGCATGTTGGCATGCTGATATTAGCATTTAGATCTTACTCAGGTATGTTTTTTTTTTCCCCACATCAGTCATCCAAGTGATCTGAAACATCGTTTTCACCGCCACCACTCATCCAGCAGTCTTCATGGTAGCTTCAATCACAACAATGTCCAGGACACCAGTCTACCACTGGTGGCTGAAGAGCAGGAGGAACACCATGATAATAAAGGGCCGGTATACGACCCAAAACAAGACGTGTTTGTCAGCCTGTTTGTAAGTTTCCTTGGTCTTTTCTGTTCGGCATTTGTTTGTCCTTCACTCCACAGCAATCCTTATACCTCACACCTCTACTCTTTGTGTCAATTTGAGCAGCAGATGACAGAGATCTGAGACATAGCAACATAGTTGAAACAGTGCAAGCAGACAGCACAGTAAATACAATTACCGAAGCCAAAGTAAGCGATTAACTACTTTTGACAAGAATCCACAAGGATAATTGAGCTCAGCTATCTAAATGGACAGAGATAAAAGCCATGCTGAGCTGTCTTGTTCTAGTTTATGGTTTGCATTAAGTTCTGAGAATCAGCAGTAAGCATAGATTTAAGCGTGATTACACTAAATTCCTGATGTGAGGCCTGTGGCTCTCACATTGTTCTTTGAAACACCCCTCTATGAGGTCAGAAGTCATGTAGGTAGTTCTTGAAGTCGGAGAAAGCGAGCCTGCCTGTGCCACATGTGTTGAATTATGTTCTTAGTCAGCTTACAGGTGCTTCTAGTTAAAGCTTCTTGATGCATTAACTGTGAAAACTTAATGCTCCCCGTGGCTTTAAATGTTGGCAAATTTAAAACAGCCTATTAAAAACATTTTGTTCAGACATAAAGAACTAGTCATCCTGTTGTGCGATTTAAAATGAATTTCGCAGGGCCATTAGAATATTATTATTCATGCATACATTGCTATTAACACAATAAGTTCACATTATTGGTCCCGTATTCTGGTGTCACATCAAGTTGGTCGGATAATCTTGGTTCTTTTCTTTTTCCAAGAAATCTCTCCACCCTCTGCCTCCTGAGAGCCATCCAGCTGCAGCCAGATCGATGAAACTTCTCGCCAAGATTCCCAAAGATGCTGAAGCTGTCATTGTTTTAGTTGGTAAGCTGCGTGACTTTTTACAAAGTAGATTAGTTAGAGGAATTGTCTCTTTTCTTTTCTTCTGTTTAAAGAATCTGCCAAGAGATGAATACGTACTTCTGTGTGTTTTCCTCTGTGTTCTACCACAGTTTTTAGTGTTATGCTGCTTTGCTTAACCCCCTGAGGACCAAAGCATAGCTTTTACTGTAAAACTGCAGCATGTCTTGATTTAACCTTAAGGGAATACGTCACTCACAAAATAACCATTTCTACATCAGTTACTCACCGGGTGTTACCTTAAATTTGTGAAGAAAATCCAAAAAAGGTGAACATTCCTCATCAATTAAAGTAGTCAGGGGCCACGTTTTAACAACAGCAAAACTTTATCAAACATCCATTCAACTCATGCAGTATAATCCAAGTCTCATTTATCCAGTCGTATGCTCAGTGCCTCCCAAACACATAGAATGTGCTAAATATTGCAACTGAAATGATGTCAGTACAGTCTCATGCATGGCCGAGGAGCTTGCCTGGGAATGTGCGTGCATTTTAACTCTGCTTAAGCGGAGCTCATGCGCATGTATGGGCATGCTAAGGGGTCGCTACTTATAGGCAGAAGTGTTTTGTATTCAGCGAAGATGCATCTGTTTTGGGAAGTATTGAGCATATGACTGGATAAATTGGACTTGGATTCTACTGCAAGAGTTGTGTGAATTTGTAAACAGATGTTACAATATATTTTTGGTCTTGTTAAACATGGTCCCCAGTAACTTCAATTCATAAAGAATGTTCGCCTTTTTTGGATTCTCCGCTCACTGTGGAGGCATGCGAGAAAAACAGTTTTCTTCAGGATTACAATATAACATGTTGTATTTGTTACAAAAAAAAACAGTCCTTTTCTGGGTGAAGTATTCCTTTACAGCAAATTAGCACTACAAAAGAAGTCAGTGAGGACATTCATTTTGCAGATCCACTTCTGTTGAGATATGTGACCAGCCATGGAAAAACCAGGAACAAGTCTCCCGAGAGGCATTTTGAGTTATTTACAGATTCTGAAAGTGTAGTTTCTAAGCTTTCCAACGATGTCTAACACATGGAAATCTGAAAATATTTGAAGAAGTTGTGGCCATTTGAACGCAGGCACTCCTCAAACTACTGAGAAATCCAGCCTGAACGATTTTGAAGTGCCAGGTAACACAATGCTGCTCATTTGCATCTCATGTAGATAAGCCCTACCCCCTACTGGTCTAGCTCTCAGTGACATCTGGTATCTGTTAGCCTGCAGGGCAGAAACTATTGTAGTAGTTTGAACAATGTAGTTAATGTTGATGTAGTGTTATTTTCCTTAAGCACTTTAGTGGACTGATCAGAATCAGAATGTACTTTATTGAAATGGAAATGCGTTTGTTACAAAAAGCCCCTGAATAAAGTTGATCATTGGGGGTGTACTATTCTGTATATAAACGTGTGTTTTGTGTTCCTCTGTGTGTGTGTACGTACGTTTAATCCACAGTAAATGCCCTAAAACTCAAAAATACACGATCGGCCATCCAGTCAAAGTACACACATTAAACAGTTAGAATTTTAAACGTAGGTCTTGGGTCAGGGTGGTTTGGATCCCGTAGAAAGTGGGACTTACCGGTGCGGGCCCAAGCACTGGGCCCGTTGAGATGAATGGGTGTCCGCTGTCCACAGCTGCAGTCAGTCCGGTGTCCAGAAAACAGCACAGAAGGTGTAAAAATGGGTTCTGGGGTGGCCGAAGTGTTCACAGGGTCTTTCTCTCTCACAGGCGGGCAGTATCATTGTGGTCGATCCGGTTGTAGAATGGAGAAAAAACTAGTATATTGCTAAAAGTTAGCGAAACGCTAAAGTAGCTTGGTGTGGCTGTGTCGTTATGCTAGCTTGCTAATCGTCAACAATCGAGTTAACGTTCACCGAAACGCACAAACACGTATCGTTACCGTGGTTCTCAGCAGAATGATGGAGAGCAGAGATGTTATAAAAGGTCCAGAAATACTGACAAAGTGTTTAAATCCTCGTAGCAGTTCCTTATGCAGGAGCGGCTGGCTGCATAAGTAGCCATGTGGTTCAGCTGATTGGCCGAAAAAACAACAAAAGCACGTGAATAGCCAAAGAAAGCCAGTATGCAAATTTACTGTTGTTATCGCCGCACCCCCAACTAGGATCAGAGCATTTCCTCTAAAACAACCCAAATTCAAATACAAAGTTTATGGTTTTAAGGCCACCAATACTGTTATTTGAAACATGGAGTGGCTTCTTCATGATTTCAACTTACACATTCTGCAAAAAAACGAAAATCACTCATTTAAAAAAAAAAATCGATTTTTACTTTTTTTTCCGACTTGTGCCGGGCCGACTTGTTGCTGGGTTTCTCGTGGCGGGCCACATATTTGAGAATAAACAGGTGATGGTTGCACTAATAGCCGAGGCATAATCACAGATTCTGTTACCAAAGATGTCACACATTCCCCCATGTCGAGATGTGAAAAATCTCAAATGACTAATGTTGTTGTGGTTTATTGTTGTTTCCCATCAGGCTGTGTTGAGTTTCTGGAGCAGCCAGCCATGGCCTTTGTCAGGTTGAACGAGGCAGTCCTTCTGGAGTCCGTACTGGAGGTCCCTGTCCCTGTTCGCTTTCTTTTCGTCCTGCTTGGTCCCAGTCAGTCCAACGTTGACTATCATGAGATTGGACGCTCCTTTTCCACTCTCATGTCTGACAAGGTAGATAGAAAACTTAAAAGATGAAAAGCCACATTAGGATTGAGGCAAAAGAAAGAAAGAAAACAGATGAACTAAGTCATTTATACACTCAATACATTGATTATATTTTAAATTCATATGGTTTTCAGTAAGTGAGATGTCTGTAGATGCTGTTATTCAGTGGTGGTTTCCTGCTACTTTATACTAAACCAAAAACTTCTGCAAAGAGGATAGTCCAGATAACGATCCTAGAATTAGAAAGTCGAGAGAAGAATGGGGAAAACATGGAAAAAAAGCTGCTAATTATTCCCCTCTGAATAATTTCTGGAGCAGCTCATTGGATATCTTTGTGTTGCATGAAATTCATCCTGGTGATGACATTTCTATTGTATTTTGTTGCAGAACTTCCACGAGGTGGCCTATTTTGCTGACGACAGACAGGACCTCCTGAATGGTATCAATGAATTCTTGGACTGCAGCATTGTCATTCCACCCTCAGATGTGGAGGGCAAAGACCTCCTGAAGACAGTGGCCGACTTCCAGAAGCAGATGCTGCGCAAGAGGAAGGAGAGAGAACTCAAGAGGCACCAATCCTCATCTGGAATGGAGCTGAACAACAAAGGTACTCTGTCAAGTCCCTTAAGAGCGTCTGATCCAAGCCAAATCCTCAATGACTACGGTATAGAGGAGGCATTTCTGATTCTGCAAACTAATTTTAGTTCTGCAAAGCAAGGACAGATAGATGGCAAAGTTTAGACATCTTTTAAATTGTGTGCAGACCATTCCCAGCATTTGCATTGTTAAAAGCATACGTAGATGTAAATGTTTCACAGCTTCAAATCAGCAGAGCAAAGATTGGAGATAATCTAAAACACATCAGCTACTGCCCTGACAACAATAGGCTTCTGAGGGTGAAGGCCAGTATTTCGAGCTGATGCAGTGTAGCCAGTGGATATCAAAGCGAAGACTTCGTCTTCCATACACCGCTAATGTAAAGCTAACTGTCCATCAGATAATGGTCGATGGACTCTGAGACTGCGTGTCAGCCATTCTGTCTCCCCCCACAAACTGTTTATATGCTGTTCAGATGGGATTGGTCAATACTACTAAGACTACAAAAGGAAACCAGTAAACTTACGATACCAAAATTTTGTCCCATTACCTACAGATTCTGCATACATAGGCAGAATCTTTTTTTTATAGAGATTAATCTTTAACTAGTTTTACAAATGAGATAATGCATCCCATCACCTCAGTTAGCAGAACTCACATGATCTATTTGTTCGATTGGTAGTGTTCCCAAAATCTCAATCAGTTAAAAGATCTTGAATTTAATGAACAGCCTTCTTTAAAAAGTATGTTTGACATCCCCCTAAAAAACAGGAATAACTTAACTCTTAAAACTTTTTATAATATGATTAATGCTCTAAAGCTGCCATCCACCTCTTTAAAGGGCCAGTTTGTATTTTTACCATATAAATATGATATAAATAATGACATAAATATGTAATATTTTTGAGATATATTATAGAATATAGATACATAATTCCCATTTTTTGTGTTTCTTAAGAATCTTTTTTAATACAACCACTCGGGGGTGCCAAAGTTAGGCAATTTCAAATCCCACACAAATCCCACACACAGTGGACTTGGCATTTAGGATGGCATTATTCTGCATTTTTCTTCTTATCAACAAATGTCATGAAAAGAACTAACCAAGCAATTCATTAGTCCACCTCTAAGTAATCCAGTAATGTCACTTAATCCACAAGCCCCGAAATATTCACAAATATAACTTATAAATGTGCTCAGTAATTTCCTAAAACAGCTGGGCACTGTAGTTTTTAAGAAAATGTCCCTCAAATAGAAATAAACAGTGCATTTGTTGAGGACTAATTTCAGCTGCAGATGACCACGCATTGCACATTGCACATGTCACCCAATACAACAGTATGTTTCAGGCTTTAGATACATATACGATACTTGGTTGATTTTGATCTTTTCAAAGTATTGTTCACAATAACAAGATATAGAGTAATCGGCAGTGTTTTCCTTGTGTCGGGGCAGAGCGAGGGGATGGCTTTCAGAGCTCCAGCCCCAAATGTTTGCTTAAAAGCCTTGAATATATTCAGGTCTTTAAGATACCTTCCACTTTGTGTCAGTCAGATAATATTGAATGCCTGTGCTGTTTCTCCCACTGTGCTCTTCCCTAAAACAATCTAATATAATTACGCAAATGTTTTCCATTGGCCTTATATTCTAATCAGAGTATTGAAAACCACGTTTGCTTGGCATTGCTGGGGATCCTTGATTTGCAGTTACAGCAGCCCAGATTATTATGGTATGGATTTAAATGTAGCAGATTTATCAGCTAAACAATCATTATGTGAGCTCTGCTCCAGCATAGTGTAATAAAAATAGCTTCAAAGGTTAGTAATGCTGTTTAAGCCTAATTTATACCCTACCTTTCTAATGCAACTCAAAAATAATAACACCAGAAAAGTGAAGGAGTGCAAATTTGTCATCCTCAACATTGTTTGTGTTAGGGTTTTTAAGATGATTAAGACAGTTGGACAACATTTGGATACAAAATAGGATGGAGGCTTTACAGGATGATTTTTTTTGTCCTTGGCAACCATGTGTCTCCCATATGATCTACAATTTTTTTGGCATTCTGTTATCTCAAATTGCTTGAAAAATAGTGCATATAACTTCTGTAAATAGGACCCGAATGTTTACAAGGTCTGGCTCCACCCCTGCCCCATGATAGTGAGGTGCCTCTTAGATTTTGGTGGCGTTTACATTTGCAGTACAGATTTTGCCCTTTGTCAACTTATATAGCTGTTTATTGTTTTGTTTTATGGTGATGATGATCATAAGTAGTTTCTTCATGTAATGGAGCCTGTAACAAACTCCCTAGAGGTGAGTCCAGAAGAGGAGGAGGAGGAAGACCAGGAGGTGGACCCATTAAAGCGCTCAGGGATCCCTTTCGGAGGCCTGATCCACGACATACGCCGCCGCTACCCACAGTATGTCAGCGACTTAAAAGATGCTGTGGACATGCAGTGCATTGCCGCCGTCATCTTCATCTACTTTGCTGCACTGTCGCCCACTATTACCTTTGGAGGCCTGCTGGGTAAACTGAAACTACAAGACATTTGGATTCCATGCCATTTTTAACCTGTGGTCTGAAGGTGTGTTTCTATCTGCTTTCACATACAGGAGAAAAAACAGAGGGCATGATGGGAGTGACTGAGCTTATTGTGTCAACTGCAACTCTTGGAGTTATATTCTCACTGCTTGCTGGTCAGCCCCTCCTCATCATCGGCTTCTCAGGACCGTTACTGGTGTTTGAAGAAGCCTACTACAAGGTACTGAGTTTACACAATAACCACCACACAGTAGATCACATACTCCAGTTTTTGTCTTATGTAATTCCCATTTTGTTTTCCCTAAACACGTCTGTGTCTTTTCTCTCAGTTCTGTCAGGCCCACAACTTTGAGTACCTGACTGGTCGTGTTTGGATTGGCTTCTGGCTCATCTTCATTGTCCTGGTGATTGTGGCAGCAGAGGGCAGCTTCCTCGTTCGCTACATCTCACCCTTTACCCAGGAGATTTTTGCTTTCCTCATCTCCCTCATCTTCATCTACGAGACTTTCTCTAAGCTCTTCAAGGTAACCAGACATTGCACAGCACACTGAGCTCACCAAGAATTTGGACAGCAAAAGACACTTTTTTGTGTCTTGTCCCCAAGAAACTAAAATATTTTCTCAATTGCTCATTTATTATGTGTAATAGCACAGTACTTTTTGGTGAAGTTGTAGCATGCAAGAATCTGATTTTATCCTTTTGTTGTCATGACTGCAAAAAGCCACTGCCAACAATCAACAGAGGCTAAACTTCTTGTTTCCAGGTGTTTAGGGAACATCCGCTGATGGCAATGTACCCAAGTGACACCCCTCCAGCTACTGGGCTTCACGAAGTTGATAGTCCCTTCTTCAACCAGCCCAACACTGCTCTCCTGTCTCTGGTCCTCATGATGGGCACTTTCTTTGTTGCTTTCTTCCTCAGGAAATTCCGAAACAGTCGATTTTTAGGTGGCAAGGTACCCTGCTTTACTGTCTCTTGGAGCGCTTTGTAAACACACAAAGTTATGTTGACAATGTGCATCTCTGACCAAAATTCATTGTGTGCATTCTCAAGGTTAAGGTCTTTCTCATAAAACATTGGCAAAACAAATTTCAAACCTCTTTTCCGCCATTGCCGTTTCTTGGCACATTACTTCCACCCTCTGTTGATCAGTGGAATAAGTCAAAACTGTCAGCAGGAACCAAGTGGCAGTTTCCAGAGCTAAAAATTGGGCCAATGCAAAAGTGCCAAAAAAAATGCAGTTTCTCTAATGGCCACTTGAGGCTGCGAGCTGCAAAAGCGAGTCAATCCCCTCTGCCCCCATGTTAAAATGCCAACTTTACAGCAGAAATAAACATGATTACAGCCTGGTTACAAAAAAATAGTTTTGGTCTGTATAACTAATTTCAACATTCAAGACATATTGAATATTTATATAATTCACCAGTTTACATTGTATTAAGGCCTAAAGTTACACAAGGGCGTGGCTGCTTTGAGTGACAGGCTGTCTGCCGATAGTGTCCTCTGCCTCTCAGTCAGATCTACCTCTTGCTCGAAATTGTCTAAATATGGTCAGTTCTGGCTCCAAAAAAATCAAGATACCAAACTCGAGGTTTCCAAATGGGAGTCCACAAAACAATGGAAGACGTCACAGTAGTCAAGTCCATTATATTTACGGTCCATGCCAAGTGCAAGTTTGTCCTTAACACGCACAAGAAACAAACAAAAAGGGGCAGACGTTTTTAAAATACTGCTCCATAGTGCTACGAGTGGTCAAAAACCCCACAGGGTTCCTTTGCCTACATTTCATTTCAAAGTCAACACAGATGAAATGTGTATTTGTGCATTTTATTGAACTCTAATTGTACAAATTTAGTCAATCAAAAGATGTGTCCAGCACAGCTACAAGAAATCCTGACAGAGGAATCTTTGTCAGCTTGGTAACAGTTAAGAGTAAATGTTGGGTTTTGCTGTTAACATACCAACATAACATAAATACAGATACTTCAGTGTTTCTAATAAATAAATTATACATGTACACCTTAGAAGCAGAGGCACCATTCTGTCTGCCAGCAGTAGCCCCTATGGATCCAACTATTATACAAAAATGTATGTACTCTATGTTAAGGAGGAGTTCTGTTCATGTTTGGTGTCTCAGAGCTGTTGAAAATAATTGAGGAACTCTGAAAAAAACTCTTTAAATTGAATCTGAAGATGCTTGCTTTGACTTCTCTCTGGTTAATCTTTGGCTTGTGGTAAAGTGAGCTTTATATGAACTTTTACAAAGCAAACTATGCTGAATCTTGGCTTTACTTGATTCATGTCTGGTTTCTCAATGTTCCCAGGCCAGAAGAATCATTGGTGACTTTGGCATCCCCATCTCAATTTTAGTTTCAGTGTTGGTGGATTACTCCATTACTGACACTTACACGCAGGTAACTGTCATGTCTAATACTATAGTCATAGCAAGTACATTTGTATCGCAGTTTCAACATATCATGGCCTTCCGTCAGTACTTTAAAATCATTTTTTACTGTCTTCTAGAAACTCAATGTACCATCTGGATTCTCAGTCACCTCCCCTGACAAGAGAGGGTGGTTCATCAGCCCCTTTGGTGACAAGCATCCCTTTCCCACCTGGATGATGGGAGCGTCTATTGTACCTGCCATTCTTGTCTTCATCCTCATCTTCATGGAAACTCAGATCACTTCGTACGTACAGTATGATTATTTGCAGTGGCGATGTGTTGGGTGCAGTATCTGAGTGTGATAGTAAGGTTTACTTTTTACTAATTTAATTAAATTCCATTTTTCAAATCTTTTTAAACTTTCCCTCCAATCTATCAGATTGATAGTCAGTAAGAAGGAGCGTCGCCTGGTTAAAGGCTCCGGCTTCCACCTGGATCTTCTGCTCATCGTCATTCTGGGTGCCATCTGTCCTCTTTTCGGCCTGCCGTGGCTCACCGCTGCCACTGTGCGCTCCGTCACTCATGTCAACGCCCTCACCGTCATGAGCAAAGCCACTGCGCCCGGCGAAAAGCCCATGATCCAGGAGGTGAAGGAACAGAGGCTGACTGGGCTTCTTGTAGCTATTCTTGTAGGTAAGACCAAAGGGAGGGATGGGAGTGTGGGATGTAAACAGATCATATGATATACCCCACCCCCAAACAGTAATTGTCCAATGAAAGCAGAGCGAGCTTTCTAGCTTTGGATTTCTGTATGTGCTGAAAAGTACTACTCAGTATCTCAAGAGTTCAGAGTGTGCTGTCTTTTTTCAACCCTAATAAAACCAAAACCATGTTTACTAAGAAAAGCATTAATCAACCAATCAGAGTCCCCACTGTGGATCAGACTTGGCTCTGATCTTTCGAGGCATGGACACAGGTCCTCTGGGGGGTGTCCTTTGGTGTCTGGCACCACGGCTTTGGCAGCGGATTCTTTAGGTCCTGTAGGTTGCAAGGTGGAATACCAACATATCCCACAGATGCTCTGTCAGATTGGGATCTGGGGAATTTGGAAGCCAGGTTGACGCCTTGAGCTCTTTCCTACGTTCCTCGTGCCATTATTGAGCAGTTTTTACAGTGAAGCATGGCACATTTTCCTGCTGGGGGTGGGGGTGGGGAGTAGTGCCCTTCATGGGCCTATTATCTGGGCCTGGGCCCGTGGGGGTGGAGCCCCGGCCCGGCCCGACAGGTTTTCAGAATTCTCATGCCCGAACCCGAAAAAAAGCCCAACTTTTTTTTTTTTTTTAAAAACCTCTCATAACAACATGTAGGCTGTTAATGTTGCAGACATTAAAATAGTTTAATTGGGGTTTCTAGCATGGTATTAAGCTATATTCATTACATTTTGATTGAAAGGGTAAAGTTAAATATGAATTTATTTAACTTAATGACTGTATTCCCCAATTTAATGAGAATTGTCAACTGTTGCTGTGCGCTGCTGCGCACTGTTGCAGTTGCATCGCGCACAGTCACTTCAAAAAACAAAATAATCATTTAAACAATGCCAAAAATGCTTCAAACACTTTTCTAAATAATCTTAATATTGAAAGGAAACGAAATATACCCAGATAAGGTTGGAGACCTCCGACCTTATCTAAGCACTTTTAATGGCATAAGTGGGTATATTTCGTTTTTCCTTTCAATATTAAGATTATTTAGAAAAGTGTTTGAAGCATTTTTGGTGTTGTTTAATTGATTATTTTGTTTTTTTGAAGTGACTGCACTGAACAAACCCGGTTGGCTCATCTTGAAGGGTTGTAACAAGTTTAAACTTTGTCCAATACTGAGCTTTTCCCTTGGTGTTGTTCACCGTCTTGAGTTCACCATCTTCAATCTTTTTCTTAATATTGTCCATGTCTGTGGGCTGGACGCACGAATGGGATCAGTAAAATATGATGAGTGACGTGCAGCGGAGAGGGAGAGGGTTGCCGTTTAAATTGGTTAAACACAAACATATACCTCTCTAATTGGCAGGTTAAAAAAAAGCCTGAGCCCGGCCCGTGTCCGAGGTAATGATGTGGTAATTGGCCTGAAGCCCGGCCCTTGGGCTGTCGGGCCCCTCAGGCCTCGGGCTCCAGCGCAGGGCTCCAGCTGGGGGCACTGCCATCAAGGAGTGCAGTTGCCACAAGGGGGTGCACTAGGTCTGCAACAGTGTTTGGGTGGGTGACATATGTCAAATGGCATACACATGTGACAAGCAGGCAGGGTGATCAGTGTTATTCACTTCACCTGTCTGGTTTTAATGTTTTGGCTCATCGGTGTAGCTTTAGGCTCAATCTTTTAGCACGATATCATGTATGCAGCCATCATGTACATACTCAGGACTCTTTTACAGTGTTCATGTTTCACAACAAATTAGCAAGACACATTAAAAAAGTCAGTTACAGTTTTCAGTCAGCGCACTCAGTTTTAACGTTAGCATTAGCTTCTGCTAGGTAGAGCCAGGCTAGTCTCGCAACCAGACAATCAGAGATCTCCGCCTTCTAAAGACTGACTTGTGAGTCTAGAGCCAGGCTGGCTAGAAAGGAGAGGTCTGCTTGTGTTTACTGCCTCTGTGTAACCAGAGACCCATTGTTTCAACAATTACTGAGAGTCTTGAGTAGTAAATGCCACTATTATCACTGTAAACTTTGTATGTGCCGTGCTAACACACAAGGCTTCACAGGCAGAGCAACAGTAATCAGGGGGGATGGGGCCTACAGTTGGTCAATGCAGTGGTTGGTGGAATGCTCCTCTTGAGTACCATATTAAAAATTATTTTATTGTAAATTCAATTATAAACATACAGTGAACCAAGAAAATCCTTTAATTCCACAAAATTGTTCACTCATTGAAAGTCACAACAAACAAATCACATCGACACACAACATTGCATCTGGAATCAGCTGGAGGAAAAGTGGACACTGAACTAATGGCCACTACCAGAGCAATTATTCTGTTTTATTATCTGGCTGTGGGGTTGTATGTTTCTACTGCATTATTATAGTGCTGGAATTTCCAGGCAATTATTTGTCTTGAAAGAAAACATGAGCTCAAAGATACAGAGGGCAACTTCTGCAGCTCCTGCATGCCTAGACATTCATGAAGTATGAACCAGCTGCTGCAGCAGCTTACAATGATTTTACATTTTGTTTACAACCATTTTGTGCTCAAGACGAACCGAAACAGTCGTTTTTCCAAATCAAAATTATTAAACTCAAAATGCAGTGTCTTGACATTGCAACATTGTTTTCATCCACAGACTAGTAGTATTTTGCCAGCAGAATATCTTGTTTCAATTAAGGTAGGGTTCCCAAAGTAGTCTTAAGTATAGTTTGATCCCGTTTGGGTATACAACCATAATGACTCATCGTGATTGTTGAGCTTTTGTTTGATTGAAATGCTGTTTGGATTAGGCATAAGACTTTTTGGATTAGCCCAAAGAGTGTTTTAACCAGTGAATATGTTTCGAATAAACGGCATTGACAGTATGTTTGTCATGAGGGCTGCTCCCTTGTTGAATGGATAATTCTCTCCACAGTTGCAAATTGCTGTGTGCATGTGATGTGTGCAGTGTCTCAAAAGCACGTCACCTTTAACCCTTTTCTACCCATCAGGTATGTCCATAGTGATGACGGACGTGCTCCGCCTCATCCCCCTGGCTGTGCTCTTCGGCATCTTCCTGTACATGGGGGTCACCTCTCTGACGGGCATCCAACTGTATGAACGCATCACACTTATGGTCACGCCCGCTAAGCATCACCCTGACCACATCTACGTCACCAAGGTAACACACACAATAAGAATGTTGACATGCCCTTGTCTTCTGTTATTAGTGGTAAGATGGAGAAGCCAAACCCAGCAGAGTGGTAACTGCAGCAGAGTCCAGGCAGCCTTTTTTCAGCAGTCTTGGGTTTCAGCTTGGTTTGATAGAGAGACATGATTATTCAGATCCCTGTATGCAAGATACATGAACAGCATCCAGGTTTTTACAGCTATGCCAGTCTTGGACTCCTCCACATCCAGTAAATCTGTCATTTCTTTACCAACAGAGAGCAAAGTAGGGATTTCATCTATTTCCATGATGCATGGAAAAAGGAAAATGTTGCTGGTGTTTTGACCCCAAACAGAGAGTTACCTCAATGGTTGAGGATAAACACAGTTTGGTTTCTGGCTGCATTCATCACACTGCTGGATTTAGCTTCTCCATCTGATCATCAGTAATGGAAGAACACAATTAATGTGCCCTCTGCATGACTGGCGTCAGATGTTAAAGTAATAATCTGGAAGATTTACATTTAAATGAATGTCTGTTGAGTCACTATCTATCGCGGAATGAGGTGACATCATGACGTCTGAACCTATGGCCCACAAATGAAAGCCCTTGCATTTACAGTATTACAAACTGGTTATCTGTGGCAAGATTCTCACGAAAAATTAAAAGCGGTGTAAAGCTAGTGATTCAGTCACCCAGCAGGGGTTGGCCCCAATGAGACTTTTAGCCGGCTAACACAACAGACTGGCTCTTTAACTTACATGTGTGTGATGCTGCGTACTGTTTTTCCAGTCTCTGAGCAATGACTATAGACAATGAAACTTAAATAAGAAGTGAAACCCAAACAGTGCACTAAATATTTTACTGAAGACATTTTAGGTGACAAATAGACAAAGCAGAAACATAATCTTTATCAGCACTGCTTAGTTTTAGAGTTTGATTGGTGTTTGGTCTGAATTTGAGAGAGCGAGAGAGGAATATCTCTTGATCCGCTTCTATACTCTTTATGTCTATAATGGCGGGCATATAAAAATGCCGAAGTGCAATCTGTAGTTCAGGCAACAGCCCAAGAGCCCACAAATTACCGTTGGATGACACATTTCTTGAGCTAGGAGATGAGCGGGGCGATCTGGTGCTGCCAAGATGGAAAGAAGTTTAAACATACTACCTACCTGTAATGATGCAAAGCTGGTTGAAAATCAGCAATTTCTTTGATAACCCAATTGCACATTCCAGTCAGTCTTAAAACAATTAGGTGCCCATATGAGCATAAAACTAGCTGAAATCATCCCTCCTGCTCATATTGGCCATTAAAAGATCGCTTTCTCCCAGACTTCCAATGGAAGTGATGGGGACCATATCTGCAGTTGTCGTTCTCTGGAAAAATGAATTCCAAGGTTTATTTGATCATAATGTGATAAATCTTGTTATTATGAAATGCCCTCTATGTGTTTCCCCAGCCAATGTTTCCTTGCTGAGCTGCAGTGGAGGGATAGTAACACAAAGAGGGACTTTGATAATAAAAAACACGTTAACTTTGGAAGATACCAACTGGGTTTGTCTAACTCAGTTTGCTAAAGCCTCATATTAACTTCAGATATAGTAAAAGAGATACTTTTTTTTCCACAGAACATGGACGGCAGATCATTTCCCCCGTCACTAACATCCAGTGGGCATTAGGAAGGGGTCTCTCTAAGGCCACCGAACAGCAAACCCCTTCTTCTTTATGTGTTTTGATGTTCATATGGGAACCTCACAATAATATACAATGCTTCCTTTTCAGGGAGGCCAAGGCTAACACAAAAAATGAATTTTCATTCAATAATAAACAAACCTAGCACTAACTAAAATGGCAGCTGTAGTCACAACTAAACTAACACTTCCAACATTACTTGCCATTACTTACCTTAAGACATCAAAAATATGAGCCAAAGCTGAGGGTAAAGGTTCTTCCCCCTAGAAATATGTGTTTCAAAGGCTTTGTGCCTGCTTTCTGGTGCATTTTAAAGTAAAAATAACAGGTATTGCAACAGCATTTCTATGTTAAATACCTCAAATTTGGTTTCGTTTTTGGTTCATCACCCTGGTACTCCGGCCAAGTACCAGGAGGAGAGAGGGAGGCCAGGTTGTAGGCTGGGAATGTTTAAGGGACCAACAGCTTGCTGTCCTCCCTGGCCCACATTGGATACCTGAGCAAGACGGAATGGGAGACTCACAGTCTGTAAAAGACTAGGTACTTCGACACAGCGGAAGAGGGCAAGTTAGGTCCCTCACAACACTCGAGGCATCCCTCAAACACCTGCCAGAGCATCCAGCCACGCACACGTAACATGGTCACGGTGCTCTCAGCTTATGTGGGCCCAACTCTAGCTGACTCTCTCAAGCCCAAGAGGGTCAGAGAATGAGTGGATCACCACCAATGGGATGGAAGTCCCAGCCCTAGAGTTTAGGGATTCTACACACTGTACAGTGCCAGAAACTGGTTGTGATAACGAAAAGAAAAAAGGTGTAAAATTTTGTCATGAATTGGAAGAAATATGAGAGAACTGTGACCCCTGGAAGAAACTGGGAGAGGGCCATGACAACTAGAACTCTCCTGGGAAGATTAAGAGGATTGGCAAGTAGGAAACCAACAAGTTGACATTACAATAGTAATCCCACAAAAGTATGAGACAATTGTTCTTAATGAGGGGAGTGAACATGAAAATAAAGAATCAGGGCCCAAGTGTCTTTTTGAGTTTATACTGCAGCAGACTGATCACAAACCAAGGTGAATGGATCAAGTTAAGTACTGATATCACTAGATCCTGTTTTGTGTTTTGATACTTGCATGATTAGAATCAATACCAAGAAGGAAGGGAAAAGAGGGATCCCTCTCACATGAACACTCATCTTAGTGCATACATGCATTCTTTGCTGCTCTTGTGTGCATACGCCCTGTTAGTGCAGACATTTCACACAGTAAACATGCATCATCATCATCTGATAACGTGTGTTTTAACATTAAATTTGATTAAGCAATTAAACTTTGTTGTACATGAAGCAAGGACAGCAGCAGTTTATAGAAAAGTCAGTCTCTGACATCATTAGATGTAAGACTTTCCACTAGATGGAGCCAAAAACATATCAGAGTTTCTCTATGCAGGGAACAGTTTGGGATTCAGTATGTTTAGTGTGTCTTTATATGTGTCTTTGAGCATCATGTGTGTGTGAGTGTCTGTGTGTGTGTGTGTGTGTGAGTGTCTGTGTGTGTCTGTACTGGGGTTTGTGATCCTTTGGTTTTCTACCTATTAACCACTATGTGTGTTGCTTCAGGTGAAGACATGGCGTATGAACATGTTCACCATCATCCAGCTGTTGTGCATCGTGGCTCTGTGGGTAGTGAAGTCTACTGTGGCCTCCCTGGCGTTCCCCTTCGTCCTCATCATGACGGTGCCGCTGCGCCGTCTCATCCTCTCCAGGATTTTCGAGGAACGTGAGCTCCAGGCGGTAGGTTGGGTAGCAGAGACACTCCAGGAATTTTTGAATCCCTGCCACATTAATTTGAACCCACATAGCCTCAGGATACTTATTTTACAGCAAATTTAATACTAGATGGATGTTGGTGTGTTTTTATATGCTTCTTACACAAACATCCCTTAAAGAAATCCTACAGATGAACTACGGATGATTTTCTCCTCTGTGATCATCGACAGCTTTCTCATCCAAATATTTTCAGTTGATATGCAAATATTTCTTTTTGCTCTGGGTTCTAACCAGAAAAAGATTCACAATCCATCCTGAGGCCGGGCTTCATGTTTTCTTGGTTAGATCCCCTAAAGCCATACATGTCAACACTGTCAGATTAAAACCTTCCATTTCCAACATGTCAACTTTTTCAGGAGCTAGTATAAACAGCTTTGTTCTTAACTTGACCACCATTGGTGGTGTGTTCATCCAAAGGTCTCATGAACCCAAGGCACTGTAGAATCAAACTAAATTAAGTTAAAACTTGAAATTTAGCAAAATTGATCCTCCACGATGTCAGACCCCTAACCCATCTAACCCTCACTCTTAAAGTATGAACCAGATCCTACTCTGTATATCTATTTTTTTTATTATTTGCTTTCTTCTTCGCTACCAAACATGTTGATGTTTCTGAATCTGAGGTTCTTTTACATCTTCTTTTTCTTTTGGTCCAGACCACTTCTGATCCGCTTCGTGTTCACACTGACACACAAAACATCTGTAAGCATGAAGACCCGGAGCTTGCTCTATCAAAGCAATAGTCTGACATTTGGAGAAATAATTGGGCTTTCTTGCCAAGAGAAGGATGAGAAGATTGATACCATTCACATGTCAGTGTGCTTAATATGAAGCTGATTGAAAATGGTCAGGCACATAACCCCCAAATAACGGTAATTGTTGTTTTTTACGCTTTGATTTTTGTAGATGGTTTAAACAAATGTGATACAACATGTTTATTAGTGAGCGTAAGGGTCTAGTGTGTAGGATTAAGGGGGATATATTGTCAGAAATGGAATATAATATTAAAAGCTTTCATTTGTTTAGATTAATCTATCTAAGAATAATTGTGTTTTCATCACCTTAGAATGAGCTTTTTATATCTTTATACTGAGTGGATCCTTTTCCATGGAGTCCGTCATGTTGCTCTACTGAAGCCCAGAACCAAAGACTGTATATAAAGATGAACAATGCATCTCCACTAACCCCCACTGTGCAAAAATGAAGCCAAATATCCCAGATACAGCGGCCGCCATCTTGCACTGGTGACATTATTTGGAGCCAGAGTCTGGGCAGTAGCGATCTCCACAGTGTCCAGTTCCTGCCCAAACACCCGTTCGTCCAATCACAAGCAGCACCAGCTATCGCGGGCACACCAGCTGGCACACATAGCTTTCAATCATGATGTCAAACCCTTTACACAACATCAAATGACTAATTTAAACCAAGCATTTTCGAAGACTGAACACTTAAAATACATTGGCGCGATAAGAACTATCTCAAATGTCAGAAAGCATCGTTAGGAATCATGTATTTGATGTGTACTTTGATCTTTTAGTTTGGTACATGTGTCATCTGCTAACAGGGAGAGGATGGGGTTTATGACCTGTACTGCAGCCAGCCACCAGGGGGTGATCGAGATGTTTTGGCTTCACTTGTTGTCATGTCATCCATCTTCTAGGCCCAGAACGGACAAACCAAACACTGGCTCTAGATAGGGCCATTTGCATTTTCGCGTCAGCCACTATAGTTCTCCTACATGCTAGGCACACTTGAGACATTCCAATTGGTTGCAATCTGCAGCTTCACCTCTAGATACCACTAAATCCTACACACTAAACCTCTAAGCAATGCTGATTCCCCGTTTTCAGTCTTGATGCTCACGCTGGCTGCAGCTTCATGTTTAGTATATAGATATGTATCTAGTATCAGTCTTCATGTAGCTCTTTGCAAGAAAGCAAATGAACAAATTTCCCGAAATGCTGAACACTTCCTCTCATAATCAGCAGATTTAACAGAATTTATGCTAAAATCATATATCTATGATCATAAAATCCAGCTGGAAGACCAAAACGTGCACAAAGCTCCAGACATGAGCAAAGGTGCAAGGGCACATTTATCACTGCTTGCAGCTTTAATTATTACCCTTTTTGGTTTTAGAACTTAAGCGCGTTTTTAAGGGACTACGAATGGTCGAAAACTCATGAAACTTGGCACACACATAAGGTCTCAAGCTTGTTTGTTGGCTCAGTAGTGCCCCCTAACAGTTTTCAAAGTGCCCTCACCTTTAAATTCCATGTACACAAACAAAGTTCGGTGTGCACATGTATCATGTCCAGACTTGAAAAAAAAAAACGTCTCTCGGAGCAATGACCTAAATCCAACATGTGGTCAACCATTTTGAATTTACTGCACAATTTTAAGCATTTTTTCCCGCTATTTACAGGGGTCACACTTCAACAGACTCCTAGAGATTTATCCCAATGGACTTTTAAACTTGTCTAAGCCATCTAAAGACCTTTGAGATGAAAAATTGTTAAAAGCTTGAGGATTTGTTGAAGGGTGTTGCCATGGCGAAGTATCAATTTTTTGTGTTTTGCCACGAAACAGCAAGTAGTTTGTAACTCAAAAGACCAAGACCCACCTTTTTACACGTTCTGAAAACATCCCAAACTGCCTCACTTTGAGCCTTGAATGAAAATGACTTATGATAATCTAACATTTCTTTTCACAGCTGGATTGCGACGAGGATTCCCCCAACTTTGATGAAGATGGACGAGATGAGTACAACGAGATCCACATGCTTGTATAGATTGAAATTGGACCCAGCCAGTAGAATTCCTCCGCCCTCCAGCTCCGACCAATCAGAGCAAGCCTCTTTGGAAACCTCAGTGTCTCTGGGTAGCGTTGACAAAGTGAAAGGAGCTACCGTAATGGTGTATGTAAAAATATCTAAAGGCTAGAGCTGGATGATCTCTTCTTACCTTTGTTTATTCCAGTTTTATAAAAGAGCACACCTGATGTTAGATCTCTGTGGTTGTGGTGGTGGTGGTGGTGGTGGTGGTGGTGGTGGTGGTGGTGGTGTTGTGTTAAACTCTCTGAGTCCAGAAAAGAGCTCTGAGCACCCTACCTGAAGTGGACGATGCAAATCTAGCAAAAAACATGAACACTTTATCCAGCTTTTTTCCCTATCAATCCCTTTAATTACTCTGAAGGTTCTGGGCATAAGTGCAATGATGATGGTGACCTCTGGGACTACAGTGGGTGGGATTATTTAGATTTATTTTTGTCCCGAAAGTGGGAAAAAGGGTCAATTTGCTTTCATTTCATTTCATTCAGGAAGTGGATTTTCATCAAAATTCATTATTGTTCTTGTGAATTGACCCTAAATCTCAAAGCCCTGAATTCCACTGCCTGTGAAGTTTAGCTGCCTTTTTTCCTTTATACTACTGCCATTGCCTATAGGTTGCAATGATGTGCAAACAAGGAGTTAAGTAGTCCCTTTCCTTTCCGTACAGTCTTTTAGTAATGAGCACTTTGACTGGGCAAAAGTTCACTTTTGTCGCTGCCAACCGAGCTCCCTGGCACAAAGCCTCCTCTCTAAATGTAGTCTCCCCTTGAAGCCAAAATTTCTACAGAGACTGTGCGAGCCTCTTCAAGGGGTGTTACTGTACTTTGTTAGGTGTTTAATGCCCAACATACCAGTTCACTGACCCTGTTATTGTGACCTTGGATGTATAAGTAAATAGCTAACATGGTCTCAACCTTATTTTTCTACTGTGTTGTATCTGTTTATTTTGTGACCTTTGGACTTAATGCCATGCCAGATTCTCAGTGATGTTGAAATAGCTCAAACTGTTAAAAGAGTTAATATATAATAAAAAGAAACATTGTGTAGGTTGACACATTCAGCCATCATTCACCCGTTCTTTCATCTTCTCTGCAATATTTCCACAGTGTGGTGCATTTTTCAGAGATGTCATGAATAATATAATAACACACTTGACTGGAAAAGCATAGAAACTAAGCAAACACACAAGGACTGAAAATGCTGGGGAACACTTGAGTGTTGGCAGGGTGTATGAATGATGCATTGTACAGTTAGACTGTGAGCTTGGAATTATAATATACCATCTGTGCTCAGAGTTGTTTTGCAGAGATTTAGTTTTACGTCCTATATTGTGAGCCCACTATAGAATTGTAATCATTAAGTCATGACACCTGTAATCAGAATCCTTATGTCTGCCACACAGAAACACCAGTTGTTAAAGCTACTGTACATAGAAATGGCACAAAGAGATTTAATTATCCTGTAACAAGTTGTGCACAGATTTCTGATTTAGGAAGAAGAGGAAGAAATTGATGTGATTTTAAGAAAAGGTCAATGAGTTAGACTCTACTCTGACAAACCCTCCACTCATACTTCATTTTGGAGTATTCTATCAATGTTGTTGTAGAAATGACATTGTCTTGACAGTTTCTCAGAAATGTGCTAGAAGGATTAGCCCATTTAACATAGAGGAAGGTTTCTGTACATGGTCACTATTCCTAAAATTCAATACTTAGTCTATAAACTTTTGGAGTGAATAGAATGCAGACTCCTTCCTCCTTCTGTCCTTACACCTTTGGTTTCTACCCCAGTGTTCACCTCTGCACTGTATCTGCTGCAAAGGATAAAGAAAGTCAAAGTGGAATCAGTAAAGAGACTTTGTGTGGCAGCTTAGGAGGTTTCTGTAAATAACTATTAAATATGATAAAATAGAAAAAAAGTCATTATGTTTTCATGTATTTACCTGACAATAATGATTACTGCTGCAGGCATACAATCAATTAAAAACATCCCAAAGTGCTAAAAAGTGACACAAAGATTATGACTTTTTAAAAGTACATTAAAAGACATTTAAAGGTCAGCAGTGTAGAGTAGTTTTTGTATGCTAACCACAAGAATTAGTATATCTCATTTCACGTAACCGTGTCCTACATTACGAGCCATGCAAGAATTCTGTCTCAGGGGAAACTGACCTTCGATCTGTAAATATCACTTCCCAGCCTTTTAGTTTGCTGTCTCTCTTGTGTGTACATAAAGCGGTCAAGGCAATCCAACACTTGCAATGTAAAAAAATATACGGCTTACAGTCCAGGCTTTTGTGTTACACAATGGAGAAAATGAGGGCAAGTGAAGAGAATAATGTGTTTACTCCAGTGACGTGACAAGGAGTTATAACTGAATTAATCCTCCATTGTTCTCTTTAGGCCTACACGTGAAGCTTCACTTTGATGTGAAGCGTTTACCTGGTGTAGTACATGTTTAATTCTGCAGCTCCCCAAGTTAATGAGTTACTGAGTGTGCTTTACATTAAGACTCTATAGCAGTTTAATTTAACGTAGGCTTAATGGACCTTTTCAACCACATGTTTATGTTTTAGGGTTTACAAAGACTGGACAGGCAAACTGAGAGCTAAGACACTGATAAGTTATCTCCATTATACTCTATTATACGTGGCCCCACTGTGTTTGTGACATTATTGAATGTAAATGTTTGGCTGCCCATATTTTCAGGCACATGATTTCGCTTGTCAGATTAAGCAAGACTGATTCCACTTTATGGAGGCTCATTGATGACAAAGCTATTGAGCGACCATGGAGAAATTTTAGTTGAGCACACAAGAAGCATTATATGTTAGATGTAAGCAAGCAGGGCTCTCGTCATAATTGTAAGAATTTTTAGGTTTAGCCAACCTCCCACTTCCATAAGCAAATTTATAAACTGGGGAAAAAAAACTTAAATTGTATTAATATTAAAATATTTTCCATGTTTAATTCAACAACAGTTTTATTGTTGCTTATTTTGTTATGTTTTTTTTTTAATTTATAACAAATACATGCCACAGAGTATCCCTACATGCTTGTCCAAGAACTCTCTCCCCTCTGTCAGGAATGAATGTCTAGTTGGGAAAATTATTTTTTCCGTTTTATATTGAGTCATTTTTCTTGGTGTGGATATAATCAGATTTAAATTTGAACCATGCTTTAAATGTTACTACAGTTCAGATCCCAAAATACAGAAGACATGACCTCTGTACTTAGCTACAGCCCTAAAAACTAGCAGTAAGGCTTCCTTTGTGTTCTGTCTTCAAAGTCACTTGCTATGTGTTTTGGCACTATATATTTGTTTCATGTGAACTCCAACTGAAAACAGAACAGTCTATTAGAGTTGACCTGGAGTATCATCTGGTCAGAAGATTTTAATTGTGACCTTAATAACTGGACATACTCATGTCTTGTCAAAGCCTGTTAGCCAAAAATTGTTGGCAAGCAGTTTGATATTGTAAAGACCTCAGAGACTCAGCTGAAATAGCTTGAGAAAATTGAGAACAGATTTTACAACATGTTTTACACAAAACTTGCATTGAGATGATAAATATGTTGAGCTCGTTGTCATTCCCAGGTTGTCAAATACCCAACGCTTTGTCACGCCCCTCGGCGTGATATCGACGCCAAAGGCACATTTTGGCATCTTTATGAGACGTGATGGGCTTTCAACTACTATCTCCAGTTTAAAACCATCTGCTGTAATACTTGATGCCTAGGCAGCTGACGGGGTATAAAGATTGAGTAAGTCTGTGCAGGGTGGGAGGGAGGAGAGGTGGAGACCACTGTTTGTCTCCTGTGTAAAATCAAAGGTCAGTGTTGTTTTAATGTAACGTTACATAACTTGCGTACCCATTTCCAGTATGAAACCAAAAGTCACTGTTGTGTTACAGGAGTCAGCAACCTTTGCCATCGAAAGAACCATTTTTGGCATGAATGTACTTTTTTTAAATTTTCTTTTTCTGGGGCCGGAATACATATTTGTGCTTTATAATAAAAGTAACACAGCCTATTAGGTCTAAATTAGCCAATCAATATTACTAATAGCTCTAAATGAGCATCTGTTAATATGTTTTAGCACACGGTGGCTACTCTGCAGTGGACTACTTGTGATTATTTTGTACTTCAACAGTTCAGCGTTGGCTGTGAAGGCAAAGAAATCCTTTTCCTCTGAGACTTTTGCTTTTTTGGATTTGGAATCAATAGCTAGGCGCAGGAGACTCCACTGCAAGTTAGCCACTGCTATTTAGGTTTACAAACATTTAGGAGAAGGGAACAGGTCATAGACGTATGACGCACACTTTAGTTGACAGCTTTTTTTTTTTTTTTTTTTTTTTTTTTGGACGAGCTTTAAGATGGGAAAACACACCACAGGCTTTGCTGTCNTTTTTTTTTTTTTTTTTTTTTTTTTTTTTTGAGTGTATAGGTTAGACATTTTTACAACTGAAAAATGTAAGAATCACTTTAGGCCTACAGCAATGAAAAATTAAAATGTTGAAAATTAACTTAGTCATTTCCATATATTTTTTTGTAAAAGCCACATAGAGCCATGGGAGAGGGGCTAAAGAGCTGCATGTGGCTCCAGACCCGCTGGTTGCCTACACCTGTGTTAACATCATATTATGCCACACTTATTTGTACCCAAAACATGTTTTTTTTCTAAACTTAACCAAGCAGGTTTGATTTGTTTTTCTTTTGTTTTTTTGCTAAACCATTTCAAATCAACCACCTGTTAAAATGTGTTTCAGCTATACCTCGCATAGATACAGTAAAAAGTGCCCTGTGCGTTGATAACAGACACAGAGGGGCATTTCAAATTTGACGACTTTGAAATGACAACGGGCGGATCTGTCCCTGTACGCTCTCATGTTGACTAGAATTTGAATTTGTTTTGTGCTCAATAAATAGTTTTGTTATTAATTACCTTCCATACTTAACCAGCGCAGGCTAATATTCACACAACACTTACATGTGCAGTCCTATGAGAAGCAAAGATTAGATGGACACCAGCTGTGATCATCTGATCAAAACAATTTTGACCTGATCAAACAAAATGTCCATTTAAATAAGATGACAATCATTGTGTGGGTCTAAATTTTGTCTTAACAAATACTAAATTAGCTTGTTAACATCTGATGTGAATTTTGACCAATACGTTTTTAGTTCAAGTTGTTGCAACTGCCGTCTAAATTCAGTGGAACTATGTATTTGCTGTGTTGGTCAACCCACAGTGGTAAAAGAGTCAAAGGCCTTTGTTGTCTGAAAATACAAGTCTGTTAGACTGCTCAACACATCCACGTGCTCTTGTTATGGTAAGACCTGGTGTGTCTGAGTGTGTGTGGAGCTGCGTAGCCCATAGCCAAGACAGAGCCAGCGAGCATATACGTAGCAAAACATCCTTTTGGTGTTTACACAAGAGAGAAAGTGGAATTGTGGGTATTATTTAAGATAATAAAAGGTGTGGTGCTGCCACTCTGTCCCTTCTGGGCGCTGAATGTTAAAACGTGCAAGATGAAAAGAAAAATAGTTTTTTTCTGACCCTCAAAGTTCTGCCATGTCAATGTTCTGCGTTTACCACATTTAGTCGCCTTATACCACCATGGTAGCAGGGCAGACCACCCACCAAAATCTAAGACTTGGCTTTGTTATTTTTGAACCTCTTTTAATTCAGCATCATTGCTTTGAGTAAAGACGTCTGGCAATCTTGGAGTTCTAGCATATGGAATAGTGTGTTAGTTTCAACTATTATATAGCTATAAATCAGATGTTTGAAACTAGATCCACTATTATAAGGAAGGTAGTTCATGCTGATAGCGGAGCACAGAATTTAAGTGGATAGTATCTTTTGGATACTACAGGAATGCCAGTCATGTTTCTTTAATTGCACTGCATACCAAAGGATTAGTTCCTTGGCAGGGTTAGCTTCCAAATTTTGTTCTTCATTGCCATATTTTGTTGATCTTGTAGGTTGTATATTAAATAGATACTTTTTTTTTTATTCAGTGAAATATTCTCATCAACACAAAACGTTTATTTCAGTGTTGTGAAAGATATGTTCATTCAGGCATGCCTGATTTCTACAACGATGCCGCTCATTTAAAGCTATGATTTCCATAAAACTTCAGTATTAATGTCAAAGCACTGTTTAAGCTGCGCTAAGTGTTTTTATAACCTCTGGAGCACAGAAACTTTACAGCAAGCTCACGGTAACTTGTTACACATCCAGCAGAAACAGAGCGACATGGCTATTCCATTGGACAGTAGAGCACAGAGCTGCACATTGGGTCGTTGATTCTCAGTGAGATTGGCAGTCAATTTCCCATTGTAGGCATTAGACTCGAGTTCAATTGAAAGCACTGCTTAATGGAGCGTTAGATTGTTTTGATGACACACAGCCGGTCCTCATGAAGTCTAACTAACAGTCTTTTGATGGATACTAATCTGATGACAAAATTATGACATGCAGTGTGATTGCATTCATTAACAGAGACTGACACTCAGTTTGTGTGGATACCTGAACAGCAGGTCCATCTTGTTGTAAAGAGGTTTTCAAACGACTGTAAAACATTATTTTTTGTCTGAAATAAATATTTATTATGTGTTTCAAATACAAACAGAATCATTGTTTTCTTTTCTTTTTTCTTCTTTTTTTTGGTCAGCTTAAAAAGTTGATGATACAATACAAATTATTCAAGTGCCACATAAACTTCTGGAGTGAAGTTGGTGTGAACTGGTGCAGTAAATCATTAAGGTTTTGCTTTCCTCTACTTGCTATAGGTGCCAGATGGGTGGGGTTCACCATATATGACAGAATAATTAGTTCCAGAAAGTTCAGACATTCACAGCAAAGTATTTAGACAGTCAAGTATAAATTTCTGCCTACAGAATGATGATATGTTTAATGCGTGCTGATTTACAGAACCTCATGACACACCCAGCCACTGAGAGATATAGAACATTTGACATTTGAGGAGAGAAAAAATATTGCAACAATAAATGGCTTGACAGTTGTTCTGGAAGAAATAGCAGCCAGTGATGTGGAACACATTTGATACCATGCAATGTAAGGTTTTAGAATGAAAATGAAAAGAACATATTGAATATTAGTGGAAAATATCATCTTTCATTGGGCACTTTTAATTTAAAGAGGACCTATAATGCTCATTTTCAGGTTCACACTTGTATTCAAGGTTTCTTACATGCTTTAGTGGTAAAAAAAAATACTGTCTGTGCTTGAACACTTGTATTCACCCTCTGACTCTGTATGTTAGTGCCAGTCTCTTTAAGCCCCCTTAAAGCCCAGTCTGCTCTGATTGGCATCTCTGCACTGTCACTGCAGCCAGGGAATGACTGTAATGGAGAATAGAGTCCCCAAGGGATGACATTTTTATGTAGGCTGACGCAGAAGTTAGCTTCTCCCTGGTCCTTTGTCAAAAAATGTTTGGAATTTTTTCACTGGATTGTGAATGATTGTGGAAAATAAGCTCTGTGGCAAACAAACCTTTTAAAAATGTACACGTTTTGTTCAGCAAGGTAATGTTCACAAATGGACACCACTTTATTGATTTTTGAAGCCTAAATGCTATTACCGGAAGTAAAAAGCTATCATTAGGCTATAGACGACCCACACTACAGTTACATGATTTAACACCCCTACCACAACGATGCTGTAAAGCCATGGTGATGACATTCTGTAGTCTCATTTAGCCACTTGTTAGCAAACGTCTTTGTTTTATGTCGTAGAACGAAAAGGAAAAAGTCCTGTAAGCTTGTGTTAACCGCAGACCTTATGTCAGGCATCATGTTCCAACAGGAATATGACCCAATATTGAGGGAAAATTTACAACATCAGCAGAAAGGTTTACATGCTTCCTTGATGTTAACGTGTACTTGCAGCTAGGGAATAACTGTAACTGAGGATAGCGGCACTTTTACGGTGAATTATCACCAGTGATAACTTCTAAACAAAGGCGGATATGCTCTGGCAGGAATATCTTTCGAAATCAGCAAGAAATTGACACCATTGGCAACCAAGTTTATGTGTTTTTCTAACATTAGCATGTAGCTTAATTTAGCAGTGTAGCCTACATAATATATACACTTGCAGTTGCATGCCTAGAGCAGAGGAACTCCAGCACACTATGATGTCATACTATAGCTGAGTAGAAAATCCTTTTGGAAACGGAGTGTTCAAAATAGTAGAAAACCTGAGGTTTTTGCTCACAGAGATTACCTCCTTATATGTTTACATCATTATTTAGCACTTTGGCCATGTTTAATATGAGCACTCTTCATAGAAACACTATAAAACAAAAGGTCCTCCAAAATTTAAGTTTGTAATAGTGCCATAGTACATTGTATGTTGGTTTGTGTTTGTATACATGTGTAAGCAAGTCTCTTTTACTTGAAGGAAAACTGCAGAAGGCCTTCTCTTTTTTAAATTTCTACAATCATTGGTTCTGACTAGGTGATGCCAGCTTTGCACTCAGTCTCTGTTTTACATGAATTATTACAGAATCTGACCAAAAGTGAAAAGAAGTTATATGGCAAATTGTTCCGAACAAACTTTGTAAATTTGAGGTTTATTGAAAAAGCCTATCTTATGTACAGTATTTGTTGTTTAGCTAGAGCCCACATTTCCTCATATCTCTGCGCCCCCAGTGGTTAGTGCAAAGCTAGCATGACCCACTGTCGGAATTAGTCCCAGGCTGAAAAATCCTGCAATTTTCCTTTGTCAGCCCAGCACATCAGAGGCCCAAAGTGCTGGGCATCTCTGTATCCCAGGTGGTTAGACTGACACACAGAACTGGCAGGAAGAGTGTGGCGATTAAAACAGGTGCTATTAACATAATGAGAGTGGTGAGTGGGGGGTCGTGGACCTGTCCGCAGAGCTTGAAGTACATCTTATGAACTTCCAGGAAGACCTCGTCTACCAGAAATCCGTGACCCCTACACCAAGACACACTTGCCCATTCATCCACGCAAACCTTCAGTGCGTTGTAGGTGCTGCAAAGAAAGAGAGCAAGGTAGAGCACAAAGTTAAGATGGCTCAAAATGTTTCCAGTGGTCCCTCTAACATTCTTACATTGGGTTTTTTTTTTTTTTTTTTTAGAATTAATATTAGTCTGTAGTCTGTGAAAAAGATCTTGCTAGTTCATTCCTGCATTTAAGTTTGTGTTATGAATTTTCAGTTGCATGGTAAAGCAATGCTAACATCTCATATCAGTAGACACTTGCAGTTAACAGTATTTTCAAACGAGCAAAACTAAATTGACAAAAATACAGGAAATGCATGATGTTTGTGTACGTTGTGTACGTATTTACGTTTATTATAAGGCAGCAAACTCTAGTGGCAGTAATAATGATGACAGAAGCAAAGGAGGTGTCAGGTTAAGTATAAAGAGGGACAAAGTCTGCATAAGAAGGAGGTTGAGGTGGATAATGAAGAGGTCAAACAAACACGGGCCTTTACTCAGGCAGCTGCTGCTTGTGTTCCATGTGAAACCAAAAGTTTGACTTATTTTACGTTAACTTACATGTAAGTTTGTTAAATAATTTAAGTGAAGCACTTAACGTACCAAACTTAAGTCACATATGTAACCTAAATTAACCTAAGTACATAAATTATGTTACAAACTCACTTATTTTAATCCAACCCATGACCTATTCCTAAACCTCTGTCGGTGAAGATTCTCAGTCATCCAGGTCTTGATAATCATAAGTGCTACGTATATCGTCTTCAAGAAACGCAAGCAAGTCCAGTTGTCTACAGTATAGCACTTATGATTCCTAAACCTTGCTACATAGTTTTGGTGCCTAAGCCAAATGAAGCTGCAACCGTTTCTTAATGCTGGAAATCTCTTTTTCTTCTCTTCTTCTGTCTTTTTTCTCTCCATTCTTGTCAACTGGTAGGTACAGTTTGCCTCAACTAAAGCATTGCAGTGGTGGTGATAATAACTGATAATGGCCATTTAATGGTCTGGTAATTTTTGAAAGAGGTGCCAAACTCATCTTTCAAGTCTGTATCTTCATATGGAAATTAATGGAAAACAATGTCTGCAAGGTAGAAGACCATTTATAAATACTTTCAGCTGTGGTTCCTGTGTGTTTTGAAAGTGGCCACTAATGTGACAAATATCACTTGAAGTATCGGCTTTTAAAAAAGAAAAAAAAAAAGGCTGGCATGGGCATTTAAAGCTGCAACTTTAATATTTAAAGTCAGTATTTTAAGATAACGCAAAGTGAGCCAAAAACATCTAGCCTTAGCGACTTCAAGCTTTTTATAAATGGAGAAATCACCCACTGGTGTTTAGGAGTCAGCTTACATTTCACTGTTAACTTTTGATGTGTCATGTCCTCTGGGTGGGGAAGCGACCATAGCCTCACTAAAGCAGTATAAATCGCGCGAGTGGTTGTCACTACAAGGTTTTAGTGTGGAAAATATCCACTGAGATTCAATTGAGCCTGACAGCTGGAAGCCTGATCAACAAGCTGGGCTCCGTGCGATGATGGACACTCCACCCTAACACACCATTTGAGCTGTATGGAAGCTTAGCCCCAAATCATGTTAACAGTAAAATATGGATTATTACAGCCATAATTAAAGTATACTGCAGTCTACTGTAGGTGGCACAGCAAGAGCAAAAGTCTCCACAAACAACAGCTGTCTGGAAATATGAGCCCAGCAGCAACAGTCTAGCACTTTTTCATTAAAAGTTGAGTAATTAGCTGAAACTTTGACCAGCACCAAATGTAGCCAGGAAACAGGAAAGTATCTGACTTTCCCATGACTAAAGGTCGTATATCTTTACTGAAAAGGCCATAAAATGTGTAATGTGCCACTGTATCCAGCCTTCAGTTTTCACTCAGTGGGCTCTACAATGTTTTTTTCAGAGATGGCAACACATGTATGCCAAGGCAACCAAACAAACAGCAAACGTTAACACGGACTCACAGATGGCGTGGTGTATATTTGCAATAAAGTGCTTGCTAAATACACAATTTATTGTATAAGCAGAGATGTCCTGATCAAGCTTCAAAATACATTTGAAAAACTCAACAGCAATGATTCTTTCCAGAAATCATGACCCGGTTAGTCAAGAAAATCCATAGACCTTGTTGTGAGCAGTTTCATGTTGGAACTATTTTCCTTCTACCTAACTACACCTGCAAGCTGTATCACTGTGCAGAAGGAAGTGTCCATTTACTGCTAGCTCACCTAGCACTCACTGAGCTAGCTAACGTTACAGCTCAGCTGATCAGGACAGCCTTGCCTCCACCAAGGCATTTATTCTCAGCTGAAAACACCAGGAAATATTCATCTGGGAGTGCTTTGGAATGCAGCATTTTTTTCAGCTAAGACACCTTGGTTGCATCTGGTTGCTATGATAGGAAATATCCTATCATACTTCTTGGCACAAGATTGAGTACTTGTTCTGGACAAAGGTTCACTGAAAAAAGTAAATATGAGAGTATGTAATTGTAATATAATTAAGCCTGTGATAATAACAATAAAAAACAAAGTTTGTCTCTTGACATGAATATATCAAGTTGTGAATTACCCTAGGTGCACAGCCTAACACACTGATGGATTGACGCTGACCGGAAGTCATTCATTCCAGCGGAGGTGAAAATGACGGATAGTAACAGACTAGCGCACAGCATGGTGGTTCCGTTGACCATCGGACTGTGGAGACGTTGGATTTTTCCTACTCGGGCGTTGACAACATGGGAGAAACGGAACGTTATGGTGCCGGATGTAGGAAATAAATTGCAATCGCAGTTGTAAACAAACAATATCTAATTTATCTATGCAAAAGAAAAATAAGCATAAGCTTTTATTTGCACTATTAAAAGTGATTGTTGACCATAGGTTGATTGATCTATATTTTCGAATTTTGCACTGATTTCCATAGCCCATTTCGCGCATATCAGCTCTTTCAATAGTACACTACTCAACTAATCTCAGTTCAGTTGGTATAGTGACAATCAACATGAGAGATCTTCCCAGGAAGATATTGCTGGCTCTTCTGCCAGATGACTTACAGCTCTTGCCGACAGCACCCTAGCTAGCCGCCCGCATCTGGCCAGGTCTGTCAACCTCAACCTCATGGAGTGGGGAATGCGTTGGGGAAACGCTCGGTTAAAACAGGAAAAATAGGTTGTGCACCTGGTGTTAGTCTACATTTATTCAAAAAACAAGTCATATTGAATTTTTTCCTTAACAAGCTATATTTAAGTGGCTCAACAAATCTTCTTATGCAGACCCACACAACAAACAAATTGCTCATTGTATTTACTCTGCACCAACTGCGCCCCGTGTGGTGCATTCTGGGTACTTCGTGCCAGAGCAAACCAGTCCAAACCAGTCCCCGCCAAGGAGAAAAGCTCGAGAACGTGGGAGACTGAACTTTAAGGTAAGAATAAAGTTAATGTCAGTGATATCGTTGGTTAAATACTACCGTCTTTAAGGTTTTATATTATTGTAGAATTTAATAAGTAAAATAACTGGAGGCTCTTGGTGGAATTAAGAATAGCATTCATTCATTCATTCATTCATTCATTCATTTATTCATTCATAACAAGTGGCTTCAAGAAACTTCCTGTGTAGGCTAACTTGAAACTCATGTTAGCAAGTTGTTTTAAAATACTTGCTTCAAGTGGCTGTACTTCAAAGTAAGCAGGGATGTGTTTTCTTTCCTCCACGTAACGTTAATCAGATGGCGCCCGGGCGCCATGTTTTCGGCAGCATGCAGAACACACCTGTGCGGTGTTAGCCGTTAGCGAGGGGTTTTAGCTCTTAGTCGGCCAGAAATAAGCACCCGTGTGTGTCTGGGTGTGGGTGACCGCGCTTGTGAGTTAATTTGTGGAGGTTTTTGGTCACAGCGGTGGCTGTAGGCAGTTAAGTTAGCTCTGCTTGTTAGCCGCTGAACCGCAGCAGCAGGCAGAGCGAGCCCAGCCGCAGGTGATAGACAGCGCCGACTTCAGAGTTACCAAATACGAGAGGAGAGGGGAACTGCCCATTGGTTCGACAGCCCATTGTTCCGACCATATTAAACCCATTGTTCCGAAGTCCGTTCCGACATCATCATGATGCCCTGTGTTTAAGGTCTGGTTAGGTTTAGGCACAAAAACCACTTGGTTAGGGTCAGGAAAAGATCATGGTGTGGGTTAAAATGAAAAAGAAAGTTACAAACACATAAGCCGTGAGCCTGCTCCGCCTCAAGCAGGTCGCGGCGCACCATACGCCCGCCGCGAGCCGTTCAGCCCCACGGACAGTCGGAATAAAGGGATGTCGAACCAATGGGCTGTCGAACCAATGACATGGACCCATAAGAGAGCCCCCTCGTGAGATGCGTGCTGCACAGACGATCTCTGTGCTCGCTAGGTAGCACCAATCCTAACATGTACCAAAATGACAGGGATAAACTCAGCTAAATGCCCATACCAAGCACTGGCACCCTAACGAAACACAAAGAATGTATTCCAGCTCGATAAAACGCTGTTAGTTAGCTAGCTAGTTCGTCTGAAATGCATTGTGAAGGTCATGGATGTTTACATAAAGACAAAGGGGGTTCTAGAGTGAAGTGTGCACTCTTTTTTACCATATACTATCTTTGGGGTGACTTCCTTCTGGAGCGTCAACTGTGTTTCTCACTTTAGGCATGAATGCACACCATGAAAGAGGCCCAGGAAGTTTGTTGTTGTTTTTGTTTGTTTTTCCTTAGTTTTACATCACACACATATATACATTATGCTCCTAGTTATTGCAAATATGGGTTTATGTTATGCTTGATTATTCACTTTGTTTATATCGTAATATATATTTCAAATTTCTATGCATATTTTTTATTAGAAATCTGCTGATCACACTGAAGCCACTACAGTCCACATTCCTGGGGAAGTTGGACCAATACACACCCAGACTGTTGAGCCTCTACAGGAGGAAGGGAGGCGCTGGTCGGAAGAAACTTGATGAGACCCTTGACATGTTAAATGAGGCATGTACTTACTGTACAACAGTTAAACAGTTAGTTATAGGTAGTAGCTTTCTGATGTCTGTACTTAGCATGATCTTCTTTTTTTTATAGGACAACAGCATTGAGTCCAGAAGAGAAGCTGTGATCAGAGGCCTCATTCACTACCTTGGTGAAAAGACAGAGGAGCTAATCAAGGACTACAAGGTAAAGAAAACTGTTTCAACGCCCTGCCTGTTTGAGATGAGGTTGTTCAATCCAGGATAGCTGATGGCTTAGTGGTATTTTAATTAAATTGATTTTTTAAGGAGTGCCATAGTACAAATGGATGGAATGTTATGATTTTAGCATCTAATTATTAACAATGCTATAGTCAAAGTTGGAAAATCATCAGAGAGATACCTAGAGACTTGTACATGAATGTGCTGAGAACTGCTGCTAACATTCTGATTAGATTATTTTATGGAATTTTGAAGATTGTCATTTATTGGAAATTAAACTATCAAATTGAATGAGAAGATTTAGCTAATGGGTCTTAAATTGACTTACAATGCTCTTCAGTAGCATTAAATTTAAATCTGTGATACCTGTAGACAGTCTTATGAAGCTACAAAACTGCTCAAAACTACCAAAGCAACCAAATCATATCAATCTGATCTTCCATGCGGGGGAGAAAGTGCGCCAAGAGAGCTATATTGTATGCATCATTCACATTGGTATACACAAGGGTTTTATTCTTTCTGGTATATTTTACAGGTTTTTGATGATGACGATGCTGCGACTGTCCAAGAGGCCCTTACTACACGTGTCCTCAACATCTTTGTGGTTAGCAAAGCCAGAGATGAAGATCTCCCCAAGCAAGCTGGAATAGCCATCGAGGGAGCAGAGGTCCTTTTTGGTATCCCTGATGTGGCACATGCTTGTACCTACCTGATGGGCCTCATCTAGGCTACGCCGTGGAACTAAGTACCCTAACAAACTGAAATACACTTTCAAGGTTTTTCAGAAGATCTTCCTAGAGCTGGAGGATGTCAGCCAAAAGGTGTCCTCCAAAGTCCATGATCTCAAGGTCAGTTTACATGCATAGTTTACATACAGAACAGGAAAGTTCTGTACAGTTTTATATTTTGTGAGGTGCTGCATTTTGTGTTTTTCGTGTTATCAATGTATTGGTCAGATTTTGAATGGAGCCGTCATTTGCTTAGGATGTTCAAACCTTTAAGGTCAGACTTTTGGTGGGGTCTCATCCCTGCAAGTGCTTCCTCAGGCTAGACAGAATGGATGTTCGTTTTGTAGAACATGTTTGCGGAAGTTCACTTTTCATTAGAAGAACCATTATGTAATAGGATGTGAATCCCATGAGTTATGTGTTGGGTCATTTGCATTGTTTTATTGTGCTTCTGTCTCTGGCATCTCAGGTGTTTCCGATGTTGTATACTGTATGTTCCATGCCGTAAATACACTAAAATATTACAACACATCTGGAACTATTATTAAACAAGGTAAACGAGCCCTTTTGTTTTGTTAAGTTGAATAATTAATACCAGAGTATACAGTATTAGGGCTGCAACTAACAATAGTTTTCATTATTGTACAATATGTCAGTTTTGCTGAGTGTACTTATGATTTCCAGGGAATTAACCCTCTTAATTTTGTTGTTTTTTCTAGCACCATGAGGCCAAAATGTCAATTTTTATATTGGACAGATTGACCAACACATAGATGTCATACTTGATTTAAGTAGCTCACCATGACAAAAATATATCATATTTTATCTACTGAGAAAAAGTAAGGCAACGTTTTGCATCATTTTATCACGTAGATCAAACAAGAGTAGTCTTTGTATGTACATTAATTTTGCAAGTCATGTTAACTTACCTTTGCTAGTAAAGTCAACTTAACACAATTGAGTTGACTTTATTTGCAAAAATAAGTTGACATCACCTGCAAAAGTAAGTTGACTTTACTTGCAAAAGTAATGTACATGCAAAGACTACTCTTGCTTGACCTACAGGATAAAATGATGAAAAAAACTGCCTTACTTTTTTTAAGTAGATCAAGCACCGCACTTGTACGTGTGAGATGTGACAGTTGGTCCTCGAATTTGCAGCATGCAGTGCTCAGCGACGATCAGTGCCTGCTCCCATTGCAAATCACTAAAAAAATATGCCGGCCTCAGGAAAAAAGCTTTGGTGGACATGACCCCTTAATGTTCATATCTTGCACTATCACAAGCACAAGCCCCTCGTCAATGAGTAGATGCATTCTTCCTTTTGTGCGGTGGTACAGTTGATGGATGTAGTTCAGTAGTAAAGAAGGATTCGGACATTGCTCTGTCCATTATCTTGAGTAGCGAGGTCATGATTTCTGGAAAGAGACATTGCTGTTGCATTTCTCAAATGTATTTTATTGGTGCTTTCATTACTCATGGCCAAGTCGCATCTAGTTCAATTTCATTGGAGAGAAGGCAGACATCTCCTCAGCCGATGTCTCCAATACCCGTTAACTCACACCAAAACAATCTGGATTGATAAAAAGCACTACATGTAAGAGGAAAAATATGTATTTCTGATTTTGGGGTGAATTGGAATACCAGCTGTTGTCTACTTCATCTGACACCTTATTTTTCACAAGCTACCTGATCAAAGTACTGAAGGTCCTGGTAAAAAAATATTAAGTTTATAAGTTTACATTATTGATACTGATATGAATAAAGAGATTAATTGTGAGAATGCAACTGTGAACCCTGCATTTGTTAAGCAATGACCAAAGCAAATTTTATATCTGTATCTATAATTAACTATAAATTAAACCTTACCGTTTTACAGTAGGCCATGGGCACCTGTCTTGATAACCACTCGTCTCCATGCTCCTGTTGAAGCCTGACAGGCAGTAGCCAACACCACTATCAAACATGTGGCTGTCACATGGTGGAACAACAAATTTTGCAGCCATTCCTGCAAAAAACTCATCATGAGTAAGAGTAACATTCTGAATTGTCAGTACAACTGAAGAAAAACATCTATCATCATTGACACAAACATGGTTACCTACTCTCTGTGAAGACCTTGTCCACACTGAAATACCTGGATTCTTTTTCTTGTCTTTCAGTCATTAAGCAACAAAACTATCCCCTCTTCTCATTTCTCTGTTTGTACATTCTCAATTCCTTTCCTCACCTCCTCTCCTTGCATCTTTGTCCCTCCCACCTAAGATGCAAGTGGAGGAGGCAAGGCAACAGGCAATTCACAATTAAATATGTGTAGCACAGCTGTATCATCAGCCGTGTGCTGAGCTTCAGCTGGTTAAACTTCCATTCTGTAATCTTATGCTCCCTGTGTTTACCTATTCTGTTTTAACTGATCTCGCAATTTATTTTGTTGTCATGGAGGCCTGCTGTTCCTGCTGTCAGGATACTGAATGACAGCTATTCGATCCCAGGTAATAAATCCTACCCAGGCGAACAGTATCTCCTCTACAGCTGTATTGAGACACTGATTAAATCCTTATTTTATGATCGTGAAGTTGTCAGACAAAATCAGCATGTGTCCAGGCAAGCTTATATTATTGTTTCCCAAAAGCTCAGTTTCATATTAAAACCCAAGGTCAGCATTTTCAGACTGTACTCTCTGTAGAGCGTTTTTGAAAAGCTAATTTTTCAGTAGTGAATAATGCCTTCTTAGTGTAGACGGGAGTCCAAAATGGAGAGAAAGGCAAACATTTTTGCCTGCTTAGTATGGACTGAGCCTGACTGATATATAATAGGCATGCATATCAAGGGAACCTGATAGGTCTAACTTTAAAACCACCCTAACATTGCCCTGAATATAACATGATCTCACAGAAATATATGAAATGACCATAGTCTCTTAACACCAGATTACATGATGGTGGTACATAATGTGTTAAATTACATGGTGGCGGCATGGTTGGGTTTAGGCACCAAAACTACTTGGTTAGGTTTAGAAGAAGATAATGCTTTTGAATGGAATAGCTATGTTTGTTATGTATAGGGCACCACGGTTTGGTTTAAGCACCAAAACTATTGGGTTATGTTTAGAAAAAGATGGTGTTTTTTATTTAAATAACTACGCTTGCTACGTACAGGGCTGCAGGGTTGGCTTTAGGCATGAAAACTACTGGGTTAGGTTTAGGAAGATTGTGCTTTTGATTAAATAGCTACGCTTCTCATGTACGGCATGCCAAGGTTTAGGCCCCAAAGCTACTTGTTTAGAGTTAGAAAAAGGTTTTGTTTTCAGTTGAAATAACTATGTTTGTTAAATATGGGGCATAAGTACACCGTGAAGTGACATAAGTACATCACGTAATGTGACGTGACTATGTAAAGGATGTAAGTACGTAAAAGTAAAAGAAGTCAACATTGACTTGACGTGAACAGGGAAGTCCTTTGTTTGTTCGACCCATACAAAACCCTAACTTTCCTCCCTATGTGGACTTTATTGCTCTTTACGGGGTCGTAACATTGTGACGTTGCTGAATCAGGGAATTTGTGCGTCCACCATGACAAAGGATCCTAATTGACTTTCCACTGGTATTGTTTCCATGGAGCCAGCACGTAACTTTAATACATTACAAGCCATAACTACATAATGCAGTTTTAACAGGTCGTGGTCATTTCACATGATCTGTGAGACCAGATGGTCCAGATAATGCTCATTTGAGCTTCAAACCATTGTGATGATTTTGCTTTACTGATGTGTGGATGACCTTATTGCCAGAAAGCTAAGTACTTGAAATTTGGCTTACCTGTCCCGGTGAAGACAAGTGCCAGCAAGTATGCAGTGAACACCATCTGTTAAAAATAACAACAACAATCATGGCATTCAGTTAAATTGTTCTGTCATTTAGGACCAGCTTTTACAACAAAAATGCAAACACAATGGAGATTAATGGACTAGTAGCATGCAGGAGCCTGAGTTCTCTGCTTCCTCTGCAGAAAGAACAAAATGTGATTTTCAAAATGTATTTGTCTCAATTTGTGATATCTGTCATGTCCAGGCGCACAGGCACACTTTCTCCAGCTGGAAAATCCATTTTCTCCACTTCCACCCCCACACTATAGTGATAATGTGCAATACAGTACATCGATTAACACCAAATCACAGAGACAATGCGTTGACCTCTATAGCAACTATTTCTTCCTGGACCCGTCTATGCTTAAATTTAAAATTCCACCCTCACAAGCTCTATTATTTTGAAAGCAAGGATTTGTGAACATGTTCAAACTTCCAGCAACACATTTTTAAACGACAAAAAAACCAATAAGCTCTATGAAACAGACGTGATGGCCATCTGCTTCCTGGACATTCCCACAAATTAATGAACTTATCTCGTGGGAGGCAGACACTGAAAACAGATGTTACCAGGGAATGCAGTGAGAGGAAGATTCCCTCTTTTTTTTCTCCTTCTTCTTCTTTTTTATTTGCACACATGTAATGTCTGTGCTTGTGTAAAACAAAAACACTGTAAATGCTGGGAATTCTCAAAACTGGCAAGTTACTTAAAAGTTCCTGAAAAATTAAAAGACTGATAAAAATGCAAAAAACTGAACATATTAATCTTCTATATTATTTACCTTAATAAAACAAAAGCACCAGTTATTGTGCTCAACAAATATGAATTAAGTAAAGCAGGTTTAAAATATCAAAAGCCCAGACTGATAAGCAAAGAGAAAATACTCTATAGGCACATACCGCAGGTTTCACGTTGCTGTTTGAAGCAGGATTGTTTCCGTGTGGATCCCTGGTTAAAGCCTTGATTAGAACTTGTGCTGAGGATGCTTCAAATGGTTTACCAGCCAACAAACAGATGTACAAGTGGTCACAAAAAGCCTCTGTGATCTGGTCCAGTTTTCTTATCGGTGTAACTCAGAGCTAATTGGATTGTGCAACAGAAATGGACAGCCTGCTTCCTTTCCCAGACTGAGCCCGGCTGTTCCCATGCTATCCAAAGACATGTTCTGCACAAAGCCCCCTAGGGACACTTGAACTGAGAGGCCTCAATGTCAACAAGCCTGTATAGTGGTATCTCACAGATATATTTAATAGTAATGTTTGTTTTGTGGTCAGTTTTATTCCTACACAGGGTCAGAGGGGTAAAGGTTTAAGATCAGGGGGTAACAGCAACATTTGGTTAATCCAGCATGCACTCAGCAAGAGGTGGGGAAATACCTTCAACAGCTTGCCAGGCTGTTATTGCAGGCGAGCAAACACACAAACAGAAAGTGAAACATTCACAACCAGAGGCAGTTCACAGTTTCCATTTCACCTGAGCCTCATGTCTGTGGACTGTGACAGGGAGCCAGAGCTCCTGGAGGAAACACACAGACCTGAATGTTCCCATCTTTGCTCAGCACTTTCACTACTGGCTGGAGATACACACATACTCAGATGTGATCATGTGCACTTACACTCAAAGTTTGACTTGCATTTTAGGAAACTTAAATCAATTCCTGGAGGCCTGTCTTAACCTTTAGCTAACACTTATCCTTATTAAGTTAGGAAACATTTAAGCATGCTGAATGCAGCCGGAGTGAAACCAAACTGGGAACTGGCTGATGAGAGTGAAGCCGTAAAAAAACAAAACAGTGTGCTGAAAGATGCTACAGTTTTCCGCAGAGCTAAGGGTAAGGTATATGCATCTCCATATGGTAGATGCAGGTGATCTTCTGTTGGTTCCCTTACACCTTTTTATATTACACATTTGATCTATAATTTCCAAAAATATTGATTAGTGCAACTTTCTAACAAACCTTATTACTGGATCAACACAACTAATTTTTACTGTGTGGCTAACTTTGCTTATAGAACTAGATGGCCCAGTCACTTGGAGACAATTTTGGCATTGTACATTTCTGCAAACCACGATTACGTTTCATATGTATCAACATTTCTACAGTGACGTGATGAATGAGCTGACTTTTTCATCAGGCGCTGGTGGATAGTGTGTCATCTAGGTGAGACGTCTGCCAAGCTGCAGACCACTGTTCAAGACCAATAACCTACAAAACCTGTTGTTTTTTTAGCGAGATCGCAGTGTTTCCAGTCAGGGTTGTAAAACCGGGTATTTTAAGACAAAGCATGATCTTTTCTTAACCATAACCAAGTTGTTTTTGTGCCTGAATCTAACTACATGTTAACCACAGTGTTGTTGACTTATAAAATTTCAACGTATCTGCTACATAATAATGTGCAAATGTGACGTATCTGTGGTTTGTAGAAACGTACAATGCCAACATTTTTTTCTGGCCATTGGTTTGAACTATTATTGTTGCACCACAGTGGACAGAGCCAGGTATTCATAGAGATGACTGTGGCGGTGAGCATCTTATTACATACTAGTTAAGGTGACCACTGGATACTGGATCACATTCAGCCCAAGCCCTTCGTGTACAGCCACTGTTTGATAAAACAAAGCTGGACGGAGTTTTTGCTGCAGGGCTGTTTGGTGTTCTCTGGAGTAATTACATGATAATCTGCTTTCACTGATCTGCAACTGAGCCTGCTTCCCCAAACACTGCAGATACGTACTTTTTAAAAAAACTTTTATAAGTTAAATATGTCTCATTAAATCTATTAGAAGGAACAAATGTTCCTCTGTGTGGAGAATATTAATGAATACTGATTTTGTTGAGGTACAGTTTTATAAAGTACAAATCCTGCTATTTTATCAAAAATCATTTTGAGACCTATTTTTCTTCTCGACCCTACAGCCTCATTAGTCTGTTGTTTAGTGCTTGGTATCAGAATCCAAATTTAGGCCTCTTTTCACTCCTCTCCTTTGCATTATATCCATGAGTGAGGAAAATGACTGACTGTGGAAAATGTGACCACCTTTCTGTGGCATTCCATTTGTCTCGACTAAATGACGCTTTGACAGATGGATCTTTCAGGAGACCAGTTAAAATATCTCTCAGCACTGCACTATCAGGTCGTTCCGCTTAAGTGTAAAATTAAACGTTCCAACATTGTTCAGCTATTGCCCACTCATTTGGAGTTGCTAAGCGACGCGTACACATAATATAATCATAATGCATTTGTGAGTGGAGAAATGCTGAGGAGTGGTCGTAAGAAAACATTTCCATTTCCCTAACTTGAAGGCATAACAGTGTAAGTGACAGAGCAAACAGAGTACACAGCAGATAGACACGGTTTGCTAAATGCTCCATGCCTGTGAAAAGCACTGCACGTGCTATTTGGACAGTGTCTCTTATATAAAGTCATGGAAAATATTTGGTCAGGTAGGAACAAGAGTAAAGGCCATGTACTGTAAACATGATATTTGCCTTAGAAAGGAGGGGGAAACACATAAATCCTTGTTTTGGTCTGCAAAAACTACTTAACGCTTTTTCCACAGATCTGTTAAGTACATACCACCAACCTTGTATAAATTTGTGTGTGTTCTGTGATTTACTGTCATTTGTACTACCCTGCTTTGCACTGGAGGAGATGTGACGATTCAGATGGTTAGGTAGTATGGATAGATCTCCCACAGTTAAGTGAGATATAAGGTATAACGGCTGATAGCAGTGATACCCTGGCAAAATCACATTAGCTCTATCTATACCTGGTACTTACATGCATCTTGGGTGATCCAATCACAAGTGGACAGCTTTAAATACAAGTGTAATGGACCACCAAGATGCATTATGATCCGATCACTCAAACATTTTGCAAAGACTATCTGAGACGCATTTGACCACATATCTTTTGTGGTGTAAAAGCTAACACATCCTGATGTGTCCCCATCAAGGACTACGCCATCAGTGCAGGATGTGGTGGTTGTTTTGGTAACAGCGAGCCACCACTCTATAACTTGCCCAATTTATGTTGAGTTGGATGAAGTGTTGCATGACTGTCCATCGTTTTGCCCTATGGAAAATCGAGATTAAATACTGTTGACAGCGATATCTCCTGCTGTACTCACACAACCGCTAATGTGGCTAGCAAGCATAGATGTAATAGGCCTAACTGTGCACATGGTCCTTTGCCCTTCTGGCATAAGTGACTTGGGCAGTAATGGAATCTGAACACAAGTTGTCAGCTGGAGATGCATTATAAACACAGGCATCAACAGCGATGTGTCTTGGCTGTCCACTTGTGTTTGCATCAGTGAAACACGTTAGAATTGGAATGCCTTTATTGTCATTGCATGTAGCCATGGATGTTTAAAGAAAACCGTATACAGCTTTGGAGGTGGGGCCCTGTTCATTTCTGGGAAAGTTATTATGGAGCACATGATGCCAAAAAAAGTTCCACTTCCTGAATGTGCCTGGACAAAACCTTAGAAACACTTGTAAAATGTTGATTTTCTGTGACTTCAGGGTGTTTCCTTTTAGTCATGGGATTTCTCATTCACTTGTGAGAGCCAGTTCTTTGGCTCTTGTTCACTTTGAAGAGCCGGTTCAAAGATGCAGTTCATCCGTTTGTTTCATTTTATTTTTTTGCTCTGTGTGTGTGTGTGTGTGTGTGTGGGGGGGGGGGGGGGGGGGGGGGGGGGGTGTTAGTGGGTTCAACGACGAATTGCATTGCTGATTTATCACATCATGTGGTCTAGATATTGTAACGTGGATCCAGAATAGACTCCACAGATATAAAGTTTGGTGTAGCCATAGCAATGCTCTTCATAAACAACAAGCCTGTCAATACAAGCAAGTGCTAGTGAATAGTGGGTTAGCTTCCTATCATTTGTTTCTAACTGAGGGGGGGTCATCAACACGACGTGAATAAAGTGTCATGGTTACGCGCACACAAACATTTTACAAAACAGTCCAGAACATGTCCCGTTAGTACCTGAATAACCAACAACCTCCCCCTATCCCAAAACACGGCCAAAAGGGCTCTCAATAACAAGTTTATAGTCTAAATTCAGACTTGTTCCAGCATGTCCAAACTGCATGATGGGTAACATGCAAACTAGACAAATAAAGAAATTAGAAACTGGCTCGTTCTCCCTAAGGAGCCGGTTCACTCGTTCACTTCAAAGAGATGGTTCAAAGACTCAGCTCGTTCACGAACGTCACATCACTATTTCCTTTCAAATAAGACCATGCATTAAAGTGTACTTAAAATGGAACAAGAACAGATTTCAATTTACCTTGGCTATGCCTTGGATAGATGTTTTAGGTGAATTTACAGGAATAGTAAGAGTAAGCTGACTAATTTGAACACTGACCCAATAAAAGAAATGAATAAAATACCTTACCAGCCTTTAGAGGATTGAGAATGAAGTGTCTTGTGATATGCCAGTTGTTCAGTGGAACAAGAGTCTTCCATCACCATGCAGCTGCATATGTGGGTGGGGAGAAAATTGTAAAGTGCCTTAAAATGTCAGTGGGTTGGAATTTTGTTCAAATTGGAGTTTGGGCCAGAAAATCCTGAATTTCACCACGCCAAGTAATGCATTACTCTCTGCCACAGTCTTTTTTACAATACCACCGTGGCAGGTGCAGGAAGAAATCTTCAGATTATACACGCAGTGGTTTCAATCAAAAACAAAACTATTTCATTACCAATTATATCAAATTTACTCCTAATGACATATGAAGCTCATAATAGGGCAGCAACAGTTTAAGGACGTAAACATGCTTTTTAACTAACACTTTGGGTTATTTTTCAAGCTAGGAATTCATGAATTTGAAGGCTTAGTCTTGTTTACAGGTCGTCATGCCAAAAAAACAATTAAACCATGACCAAGCTTTTCTTGTTTCTCCATTGGTCCTGTCACAAACATTTTTTTCCAGTCCAGAAATCTTATGTAAGTGGCAGAATTAGGCATAGTGAGGATAGATGGCCTTGACAGACATTACTTCATACTCTCAAAACAGCTAAGGTGAAGCATATTACACAGTGAGTTACCGTGACATCACACTGGCGCTGCACTGCAAGGCTGGAAACCCTAGTGTGC